GAAATATGAAGGAGAGTAGATGGGCAGAGAAGGTGTTCCGTTATTTGTATAGGAAGAGCGTGGACACACAGTGGAGAAAAAGAACTAGAAGACTCACTAGTAAATATACGGCTGGTATTGTAAGCCATATGTCAACAAAGAGCGTTAAGGGAAAAGTCAGGGAGGCGGAGAGGATTTACTGGATGGCAGCTATGGAGAAAAAACCGGCTTTGAGTAACTACCGAAAGGGCAAAAATGAAATAAGGAGGGAGGCATTTTACGATAATTCAAGGGGAAGCGCTTTACTGTTTGAAGCGAGATCGGGTTGCCTTAGAACGCGTAGTTATAAAGCAAGATTCAGTAAAGAAGAAGAACAATGCACATGCTGCGGGAAAGATAAGGAAACGGCGGAGCATGTTCTGATTGAATGTGGAGATATCCACCCAGGTGTACGTTTGGGCACGAGCCTACAGGAAGCCTTGGGTTTTAGGGACAACAATGGAAAGCTGAACACACCCGCGATTGAAATAAGTAAGAGACGGTTAGAGTATTGGTGGCAGAAAATTAGAGAGAAAGGACAAAAATAAATATTGGAAAAATAAAATATGGACAGTGTGCCGTAAATGGCAGAGAACTTAAGCTGAAAATTTACCTTTTTTTTCCATTAAGATAGAATTTATCGAAGTAGAGGCATTAGGCCAACATAAAAAAAAGAAAAAAGGTTTTTTTTTTTTTTTTGTCGAGCCTGGTGGCATACTTGTCACCACCTCGTTATAAAGGGGACGCTCATAGCATCCATCCATCCATGTAGCCACCTCTCGTTTAGTTCTTGTAGTGTTTACTAGATGGTGGTACTTGTAGCTGATGATGAAAAGATGCAAGCTGTTATAAACTAGAAAGCGGTACTCGTAGTTGATGAAAGACGCGAGATCTTATAAAATAGGAATGATGTCACACATGGCGCGTGTCATTGGTTGAAGGCAATCGTTCGATTTAGTGCGGAGACGTACACTAGGGGGAGCGATGTAATAAAATCGAGTGGGCAAAATGTACAGAGGATTCATGGTTTACCAGGTTTACCTCCGGAGCTTCGCCCACTCATCATCATTCACTTCGTGGATATGGCGGAATTTTTCGTTTTTGCGGGAGTCGGACCTATAGTACATGATAATAATCACCTCAAATAATAATCACGTCTCAAAACCACCATCTGCTTACAAAGGACACCATAGAGGGCTAATTAAATTTCGACTTTGCTTGGTGTCCTTGAACATGCACCAAAATCGAATTTACACGGACCTCCTCGATGAAAATGGAGCCGCCGCGGCCAGAATTCGATCTTACGGCATTCGGATAGAGTACGATAACTACTAGACCACCACAGCAGGTAGGCCTACAGCACAGACCTAAACACTTTCCTGAGGTATGCTATCGTGCGCAGCATGAGCGGCAACACGCGAACGCGTGGCAAAATACCCCCGAACTCCACGCGAGGCAATTCGAGGCGTCTGCTCTCGTAAATAAAGCCAACAGCTTAAAACAGCAGCCGATTGCGTAGCACGGGCCGGTCTCGAGTATATTAAGCCGAGCGCAGCAGTGCGTTGGCTGTAGCTTGGCACAAAATACCGCTTTTCCATTCGTTTGAGTGTGTGTTTGTAACACACAAAAGAAGATACATCGAAACGTCTTTTTTTTAAAAGAACGGTACTGCCTGCTTGCTGCGCGTGAGTGCTACGACAGGCACCCCAACATGCACGTTTGATCCCTCTACAACGGTTTCGGTATTTTCATTAAAATACGCAACTGTCCTCGGTCACCCACCCTTGCACTCTACCAAGAGAGAAGTAGCTATTCATTTGTAAACGGCATCGATGGCACTATCTTCAGCAGTATTCACCATAGCTCTACTCAGCACCACTGGGGTAAGGGTGGTGGTGGTAGTGGTTAGAAGATGAGAAAAGGCACCTAATTTCTGCAACCCGGTCGGGAGCACGGCGCAGTGCCTAGGGGTAAGGGAGAGGGGATGTATACGCCGGATGGTTGCAAGCACAACTCCCTCGCACCACCAAAGACGCGCCTTGCCTCCACCTCTCCTGCTGGCCCGTGAAAAGAGTTGGATGTTGTACCTCTACACCTCCACTATCACCCGATCTGAAGAGCGAAATTCTGATGCTACCGGAACGATGTGAAATAAACCCATTTCTTTATCGTAGTCTTCAGAAAGTTTTTATTAACCCTACAGGGCAGGCAAATATGTCAACGTTCGGCTTTAAATGATCCACTGTGCATAACAAAGTTAAAGTAACACTTAATATTCACTGTGTTTTCTTCCGGCACCCGTGTTTTCCTAATATAGCTCTGACTAAAAGAAAAAATCACTTGCTCTGAACTTCGGAATTGTGCTCGCTCGTACCAGTATCCGAAGACGACGACCAGGAGTTCGGCAAGGCCGATCCAGGGGAGCAGGTATCCCCCCAGGTAGGTGTCCATCATGGTGAGGATGTAGAGGCCCCCCTGGCTGGCCATGGGCATGCCGAACACGCACATCAGGGCGCACACGGCGAACGACAGCAGAGGGCCGTACGAGCGCAGCACGGGGAACTCGTCCTTGAAAGGCGTCAGCAGGCACTCGACCGACGAGAACTGTGCGGCAGATTGGAACGCCGTCGTCGGCGCAGGCTGTGTGACAGCACACCGCGACGCGCAGCAGGGGGCACGCTGACGTGACGCTACGACATAGCCACTAACCAGCAGATGGAGTCAGCACTACTGGCCAGTTCCGTACTGATAGCGTCCTCATAAAATCGCACCGCGGTGCGTATCGGGGTGCCATGGTGCTCCGTTTCGTCCAATCATCGTAGCGCCTTGGAGTCTCGGTGCGATTTCTCGAAGAATAGCATAAGGCAGGCATCTAGCAGCGTTAAGACGGAATCCATAGATGCTGCATCCTAACGTATCCTCTACTTTCTCACGAAGCGCTGCCTCACCAAACGCTATAAAGTGACCGCCGGCGTCGACACGAACGGCGCAGAAAGACGTGCGATCGGGGACGAGATCACAGGCGGCCGAAATTTGTGACAACATTGAGACGCAAGCGTTACGTCGTGATGACGCCATATAACACGGCATGATATGATGACGTCATCGCACGACACCGTAGTACAGTGGCCTGTAGCCGTAGCGTGGTTAAAGGTTGGTCGCTTCCGGAAGCAGCGGGAAACCATTCTATACCTGCAGGGAGCTCTCGTGGTGATGTGTCAATGCAATGATACTGAGAAGAAAAGGATGGATAGCTTTTGTCTTCGAGTCATAGGCGATTGAATAAACAACCACGGGCATTTTCCTTTTTATTCTAGCAGTCATAAATGGACACGGCGCTCTTCTCGGCCGTCACTCACTCTGTTCAATGTATCAGGTGCTGATCGGGCTCATGGCAGCGGCGGCGACGTATGCTACACCCGTGGCATTTCGACCGATCGACACATGGCCAGCGGCTCTTGGCATTCCACAAGCGACTACGCATGATCTACTAGATTCACCAAGCACCTCGGAGCGGTGCCATCTGCGCATCGAAACGAGCTGGATGACAAAGCATCGTGGTACGCTTCCGGATCCGCCTACTGCTGGCTACAAAAGGGAGCCCCTGAACCAATGCCCACTGGGACACGGCGCTCTTCTCGGCCGTCACTCACTCTGTTCAATGTATCAGGTGCTGATCGGGCTCATGGCAGCGGCGGCGACGTATGCTACACCCGTGGCATTTCGACCGATCGACACATGGCCAGCGGCTCTTGGCATTCCACAAGCGACTACGCATGATCTACTAGATTCACCAAGCACCTCGGAGCGGTGCCATCTGCGCATCGAAACGAGCTGGATGACAAAGCATCGTGGTACGCTTCCGGATCCGCCTACTGCTGGCTACAAAAGGGAGCCCCTGAACCAATGCCCACTGGGACACGGCGCTCTTCTCGGCCGTCACTCACTCTGTTCAATGTATCAGGTTAGTTATTTATGCCGTTGTAATTGCTTTAGAAGCAGTGATGACATGCTTTTTAGAGTGTCGTGTCCCATTAACGGTAAATGGCTTATCTGGACGTGCTATGCTGTTTCTCGCGAGTGTATGGCTGCCGCATTGAATTGGTCTGTCTTGGAGGGTTACGATGTGGCCTCTCAGACATTACTACTCTTGGCTGGTGACATAGAACAAAACCCTGGCCCTATGTCTGTGCCTGAGCGAGAACAGATAAGTAAAATCGAAGAAATGCTAAAGGTGCTACAGTCAGGGCAGGTAACCGTGTTGGAAAAGCTGTCGGGCATTGCTAAAACTCAGGATGAGCTTCGGAAAAAGCTGGACGACGTGATTACTAAAACTAATGTAATTGAAAAGCGCCTTACTACACTAGAGGAAACAGAAAAGAAGTTCGCTGACAAACTAGACGACTTAGAAAACAGAAGCCGGAGAACAAACTTGGTATTCTTTGGAATACCAGATAGTCATCCAAAGGAAACTTGGGAAGAATCCGAAAATCTAGTTAAGTCTGTCTGTACGGATGTATTAAAGCTGGAAATATAGCAATAGAAAGGGCTCATCGTCTCGGGGCCTACAAAACAGAAAGAATTCGTCCAATAATTGCTAGCTTTTCAGGATCGAAATCAAGAGAATCTGTTCTGCGAAATGCATACAGATTCAAGGGGACGTCATACAGCGTATCAGAAGACTTCAGCAAGGCAGTTCAAGAAAAACGCCGGCAGCTTTGGAAGTACAGTAAAGAAAAACAGCTCGACAAGAAAAATCGTGTACATTTAAGTTACGATAAGCTGGTAATCAATGGACAAGCATTTGCCTGGGATACTGACATGCACCAACCAGTTCCTCTTCGGGCGCATGCTCAGATATTGGGGCGGAAATGACATGATCATTCTAGCTTAAGAACAAATGGGAAATATACCATCACAAAAAGCTTTACACCAGTATTGTTGGTGGTCAATTGTCGAAGCCTAAAAAACAAAATTGATGAGTTTACAATCTTACTTGAAACGGTGAAAGCGCAAATCGTTATGGGTACCGAATCATGGCTTGACGACACAGTATTGGATGTAGAAATATTTCCGCCAGGTTTTACAGTGTACCGTAAAGATAGAAACAGGCATGGTGGTGGCGTGTTTCTTTTAATTTCAAGTAGCCTTGCCAGCGAAGAAGTTGTTTTTGATAATGAAACTGAATCAGTATGGTGCCGCGTCCAATTTCCCCAGGGAAACAACATCGTTTTTGGATCGTTTTACCGCCCACCTGACCACAACAATGAATCTTTGATTCAACTTTCCGACATACTATCACAAATATCTCACTGCGTAATACTGGGAGGGGATTTCAATCTGCCCGATATGAAATGGGATTCCGACTGTGTAGCCCCACACAAAAATCGAAATTGTTCTGCCTTTTCAGAACTAATGAGCGTCTATGGGCTACAACAATATGTGAACGAACCAACTCGGTTTAACGCTTTACTAGATCTTTTACTAAGCAATGACGAAAATGTTATTGTTCACACAAACGTATGTCCAGGAATTAGTGATCATAGTTGCGTTGTTGCAGAGTTAAACGTTTCTAGAATACCTGCGTGTAAGCAAACCCCTCGAAATGTTTTCATGTACGACAGAGGGGACTTTAATGCCATTTCCGAAGAGCTGGTCTTGTATTATCCCACTTTTTTATGCATATCGGAGTCATGCGGCATGGATGAATTGTGGCAAATTTTCCGTGACAAGGTTACAGAGCTGGTGAATATGTACGTACCTCAGAGGTGTCTAAGATGCAGAAAGAGGCACAAACCCTGGTTCAACTCTGAGATACGCAAACTTGTTAGAAAAGCAGCGAATGCCCATAAAAGGTTTCTTAAAAAGAGAACAGCACTAAATAAAACAAAGCTCAAAAGTGTAAACAAAGAGCTTAAGTTAAAACTAAAACAGGCAAAGCGTGTCTTCTTTGACAAGCTAAACACAGACTTGAAGTGTAATCCAAAATTCTTTTGGAAGTATGTCAAGAGCAACAGAAAAGACGACACAGCTATCCCTGACCTTTTAACCCAGGAAAAAACTATAACGGATGACTTGGAGAAAGCTGAAGCATTTAACGCCTATTTTCAGTCAGTGTTTTCAAAAAGAACTGAACACTCTCCAATGCTACCTTCAAAAAATATTGGTAATGAAATGGCGGAAATTCAAATCGATTACGCTGGTTTGGATAGTCTGCTGCGTACTCTGGACACCTCTAAGGCTACAGGGCCTGACGGTATATCATCTCATGTACTTAAAAAGTGTCACGTTATTATTGCACAATATTTATGCATAATGTACAAGTTGTCTCTAGACACCGGCGTTATTCCAAGGGATTGGAAAACAGCCAATGTGGTTCCTGTACACAAGGCAGGAAGCAAAAAACATGTACAAAATTATCGTCCCATATCCTTAATTTCAACCTGTTGCAAATTATTAGAACATGTTATTTATAGCGCATTGTTCAAATATCTCGAATCTACTCATTTTTTTGCCCGCTCCCAGCATGGATTTCGGCAGGGTCGTTCATGCGTCACACAACTAACTGAATTTCAGCATGACGTACTGACTGCGCTTGACCGTAACAACATTGTTGATGCATTATTTCTCGATTTTCGCAAGGCATTTGATACGGTCCCACATAATCTGTTAGATATTAAACTGGCTTCACTGAATATTAATGCTAAGCTGCAAACCTGGCTACGGAATTACTTAAGTGGTCGTAAACAGTGTGTTGTTTTAAATTCTAAAACGTCTTCATATGTAAACGTGACCTCAGGCGTGCCACAAGGTAGCGTTCTAGGTCCGCTGTTATTTTTGGTTTATATAAATGATATAGCCTATAACATAAAATCCTGCATAAAATTATTCGCAGACGATTGCGTCATCTACCGTCACATTACTTCAATCACAGACACTGAATTATTGCAAGATGACTTAAACACGGTAACACATTGGTGCTCCACGTGGAATATGTGCTTAAATATCTCGAAGTGCAACCACATCAGCTTTGCAAAGAACATTTCAAAAATCCAGTGCACATACAGTATTAATGGCGAGGCAGTCAAAAAAGTGCCCGAGTGTAAATATTTAGGAATTTACTTGACAGAATCATTCCATTGGAACAGACACATAGACCAAATGATCTCAAAGGCTAGTAGAACGTTGTTTTTTATTCGTAGAAACTTTCACTGTGCAACAAAAGAGGTGAAAGAAACTCTTTACTTCCTTCTTGTCAGGTCTATACTTGAATATGCTTGTGTTATCTGGGACCCGGCTCAAAAGTATCTTGCAAAAACAATAGAAAAAGTCCAAAACCAGGCAGCCCGTTTCGTCAGCAACAACTACGACCCATTCGCTAGTATGTCAGAAATAAAGGCCATATTAGGCTGGGAAACTCTAAAATCTAGAAGACGGAAACTTCGATTAAAACTTCTGCATAGCATATATTATAACCTAACAGGAATTAATAAGTTTGAATACCTACTAGCACCAACATATCGTTCCACAAGATGCCAACACTCACATAAAATACAAGAATACGCATACAAAACCACTACTTTTGCCAACTCCTTCTTTTTAAAAACAATTAGAGACTGGAATGAACTTCCCGAAGGTATAGTGAACTTGAGTGACAACAGCGCTTTTTTCTCATCGTTGTGAAATTGTGACATAGGTACTTCTCTTTTGGTACCTATTGTCATGTGCAATATTGTACTAAAATATTTTTTATTTTTATATGTTGTTATAATTGAATTTTTCACTATGTTTGGCGTCTTATCGCAGAAATGTTTTCTATGACTTCTTATGTATACCCCCCTGCAGTAATGCCACTACGGCGTTGCAGGAACTATGTAAATAAATAAATAAATAAAATGACGCAGCGTGTACATAATGATACGCAATAACAATAATGCTAAATGGCAGGAACGTAGCATAAGATATAGCAGACCCTCGAGGCAATGTCTTGGCTATAAGTATACAGATCACACAGATTGCTGGGTCCCGAGGCAAAGAAAAGTTAATTATAATTTTTTGTGTTTAATGTCCCAAAACCACTATGCGATTCTGATAGATGCGTAGTGGAGGGCTCCGGAAATTCAGAACACCTGGCGTTTTTTAACGTGCCCCTAAATCGAACGGAAATGCGGCAGCCCCGGCAGGGATGATCCCGTGACCTGCGGGTCAGCAGCCGAGTGCCTCAACCACTAGACCACCGTGGCGGGCAAAGAGAAGGTCAGAGAACTGCTTGAGGCAATAGCAAGTTTACTAATTAGCTAAACCTACCTCTGTGTCAATGGCAAGGAAGAAGAGCATAGCGTAGAAGGCGGCCGACCAGAATTGCGGGTAAGCGATCCTGCTCAGCGCCTGTGGGTAAGCGATGAACGCCAGTCCGACGCCTGCGCGGTTAAAGGAACACGACAACGTGTCACTGATTTGTACGCGGAACGAATTAACGCCGTCTCGACGATACCTGCCCACAGCGCTAGCAATTAGAGGTACAAGTGATGACGTGAAGAAGTGTCTACATGCGCAGCACCTAGAGGTGTTTAGCTCGTGGACACAATGCGAAGTAAGATGGAATATAAGCATAAATTCTTCAACCTACGGCACGGCATGCTCATGGTATACCAGTGTCATAGCCAAGTACAGTCAACCACAAAAGTTTGCGGACCACAAGAGCACGTGCCAAACTGCCTGTTCGTGCGCCGTTTGCCGCAGTTCCAGGCCGGCAACGGCTCTTGTTATTCACTGGCCTTTCAATTTTCTATTGCGGCGTAGCACATTGCTAGTTCGCAGTTTTCAAGCGAAGAGCGTATCAGTGGTATGACCGTCACATTTCTATTTTCATGGCGGGATAAAAGCTACCACGGCGTGCCTCGAATGGCGTTCAGTTGGCCATGTGATAAAGATTGGGACTGATAACAGTCATGCACTTAGACTGTTCTCGAGGCAGAAGCACGTAGACGCCGATGCCGAAAAAAATGGCAGCATATCCACGGAGTGAATGATGGATAGTGGGGCGAAGCATTCGTCCGTCCATTCGTTCTTGCTTCCGTCCGTCCATGCGTCCGTCTGTGTGACCGTCCATGCGTCCATCAGCCCGTCCGTGCGTGCGTCTGTTCGTGCGTCCGTCCCTGCGTTCGTCCATGCAGCCGCCCCTGCGTCCGTTCATGCGTCCATCCATTCATCTGTCTATGTGTCCGTTCGTCCATCTATTCAACGCTCCAAGTACCACCATCTCGCATCTTTTCATCATATATTCCCCATATAGAAGCACCGCCATCCAGCGGACATTCCAAAGACTAAACGAGAGGTGGCACACGCACACTTTCTTACGGCTTGCGCTTCGGGTCCACTTCCCACATTTAACCACCTCGAGTTCATGGTATATACTAGTTCACTGTATTCGTGGCACTGCGGCTCAACGCTCGCTAAACCTTTCAAAAACCAAGGAGGTTACGCCCAGCGAGTATGACGTAGCAAACGTTTTCAGTCAGATAGTGCTCAATGTACATGCCAATGGCTGCTAATGGTGATCGCAGCCTGCGCGTTAACTAAAAGCCGAATGCTCCTGTCTCTCATTCCCCATTAGCAGCCATTGACATGTACATTGAGCACTATTTTTTATTGTTCAACAACGTACAGAAGTCTCTCGCCGGCACCACCTTGGAGGTGAAAATGTTATACTTGTTACATACTACGGGGGACGAACGGGTGCCGCTATAAGGAGCTTCGCCCCTAAAGGTGTGTCCCGTTAAAAAATGAATGTGAAAATTATTTGTACTCAAACGGAAAAAAGATAGGACATGCATAGATTATGGCAGGGACGCTGCTCAGGCGGTGCAGCACTGTCGATCACTGCTGGCGTAGCGGAAGTGTCGCAAAGAGGCTCTTGGCCAGGCGGTCACATGGTCCACAAATATTTGTGGTCTAATATACATGTGTATCGGAGCTGACGTGATATGTCCACATGCAGTGCAGCTAGAAGCGTTTGGCTTGTTGACTATGCGAAGTAACATACAATATAAGCATAATCAGCAACCTATGGCGCGGCATGCTCATGTTATACCAGTGTCACGGACGAGTACCTTACTTCCTTGGATATGTGAGCACGCCCTTGACTTGAATTGACTAACGCTGTTTTTTTTTAATTGTAGATATGCTATGACGAACATAACTTTCAGGGAGTGTGGGGTTGAGGAACACCGTCGCCGGTGTACCCCACCCCTGGTTACGACTCTGTGGTGTCCTGTAAATTTTGTATACGTGCGTTCAGCTTTTGCTAAGAATAGTATGTGGCGTTTACGTGCCAAAACCACAGTACATACGACGTGCGCCACAGCGAAGGGGGCCAGAGATTTCAACCACCTGGGGTTCACTAACTTCGTCGAAACTCCACCGAAACGAACCACCAGTGAGTTAGGTCTAAAACGCAAACTTCGGGACTGCAGCCTTCGTAGCACTGTTAAATTTTTTCATAAAAGGGAACACGTGAGCGCGTGGCCTGCGGCGGCTGCTTGCAGCGCGTCCAAGCGGGGGCGAGAGCAACCACGGCATCTTTTCGCGTAATCCAGTGGTGAGCAAAAATAACCAGTGATACGAAAGCGGCGACAAGGTGCCTACCTCCTCCCTCTTGAAGGATAATATGCAAGAGGCCGCCTCTTGCGTAGTTACATTAGAGTAGGAGGATTGATTGATTTATTGATTGATTTGTGGGGTTTAACGTCCCAAAACCACGATTTGATTATCAGAGACGCCGTAGTGGAGGGCTCCGGAAATTTGGACCACCTGGGGTTCTTTAACGTGCGCCCAAATCTGAGCACACAGGCCTACAACATTTCCGCCTCCATCGGAAATGCAGCCGCCGCAGCCGGGATTCGATCCCGCGACCTGCGGGTCAGCAGCCGAGTACCTTAGCCACTAGACCCCCGCGGCGGGGCTAGAGAAGGAGGATGTTGCAATCTTGTCGCTGGTTCCATATGACCAATGACTGGTTATTTTTGCTCGCCACTGGATTACACCGTGTACCACCTTTGGTGGCGTGCTGCCCAGCTTTGCAACTCCCAGGCGTTTATCGACGATCGGCAAGTGCCACTGCTGTTATATCAGCAGCACTTTTTCGCGAAACTACGCGTAATCAACCGACTTCTCAATATGCATTACTCCTCTGATAAACCACCTATCGCTGCGCGACGCCGAATAACTTACGGCGAAATACCCGATTCCCTCGGGCAAGAAGCATCCAGTTATCGCCAGATAACTTGACTGCTGGGATTTAAAGGGCCTGAACCACGGCGCCATTATGAGGCGCACCGTACTGTTGGCTTTCAGGTTAGTTAGGAGCACCTGGGATTATTTAACGCGCGCCTAAAGATAAGTACACAAATGCTCTTTGCTTTCATCTAAATGCGTTCGCCGTGGCAGGGATTCGCACCCGCGTCGTCGGACGCGACAGCCTACATGCCATGGCGAGTGAAAATGCTCACCGGAAGAGACGACGTCGGTGACGGGCACCTCCATGTTGTACGCCATGTTTCCGAGCACCGCAAAGACGACCATGCCGCCCATCATGCTCACTATGAAATCGGCCAATGCCACCACCAGCACGTCCCTGCGAGGCGACACGAAAGTGTGACCCGCCTGCTTTGAGATAACTGACGTTCCATGGCTTATCGCTTTAGTGGCGGATGCAGACTGAACTGCTGAATCACTCCGCAGAAACGAGACGCGGCTACACTCTCAGAAATGATTGATTAAAAAGCGTCTTTTTTTTTTCTTCGCAACAATAATCGTCATCTTTCTTGCGTTCCTTTCTTTGCGTTATCGCCGCGTGGCCCACAGTTTCAGGTCACGAATGACATGCGCGTTATCAACATGACATGGCATTCTTGATAGGAAAGTGGCAGACGAGCCGGATGACGGTTATCGTTGCGTGACAAAAGCACACCCATCTTACTCGATCATCATATCTTTAGAGTGTAGGTGCGCCATCCGCTGTCTGCCCGCTGCAGGCGCTGCAGAATACACGCCCCGTTCGTGTCCCTCGAATGAGCAAACTCGGAGAAACAGTTCAACATGAGTGTTTCGCTCAGCGGTCAACGCAGTCTCCAACTGTAGGCAGTTTGTGAATAAATAATAATTAATAATAGTCAAAATTACGATATGATTATGGGGGACGCCATAGTGGAGTGCTCCGAAAATTTCGACCTCCCGTAGGTTCATCAACTTGCACGTAAACCTGAATATACACGGGCCTTGAGTATCTGAAATGCAGCTGCTGCAGCCGAGATTTGATCCTGCAACCTTCGGCTCAGCAGTCAAGTAAGTTAACCACTAAATAACCATGGCGGGTACATTTAGCATATCGTACGCAAAGATAGTGTTATTTTCGGTAGTCCTTTAACTATACTAAATGAACCGAGCTATTGTAGACATGCACGAATGAAAAAGCTTGGGTTGGATCGTTCGTTTCTATGGCCCATTTGTTATGTGGTAATACACAAAAACAAGAAAATATTTATTTGACAGCACCAGATGTGGCGGCTATAAGGCGTATTGTTCCCATATTTCAATTGCGTCAGTTGCATCGCATCTCTTCGTCGGGCAATAATCTTCGCGCATACACGATTGTAAGAAACTTCATGAAGAATAGATCAAAGAGAACTTCACTCAAATCTCGGAATTCTGTGCATGTATATGGAACCCTTCGCGTTCACTTATTTCGATCGTGCACTTCAATTGCAACAAAAGTTCAGGCCTCATAACAATGCCTAGTTTCATATAAGAGCCTGCGTGGAATGTTTGCGTCTGAAGTTCGAGCGCGAGCATCTCGAAAAGCTGAAGTGCACTTTTAACGTCAGAACCCGAAAAGAAAATAATACACTTTCATTACTAAGGTGCACTGGTCCCAATCGACGTCTGATAAGCGCAAAACCTAGAACACATGTCACTTCGGCATGATCTCCGAAATGTGGGCCGGGCCAGTGAAACATCTCGGAGGCGACGTGCAGCGTGGCGTAATCGTGGACGTGGTTTGCGCTGGGCATTGCTGACGGTTTGTGCAGGCGTAGACCAAACACAGCAATAGGGAAATAAGAACAAAATTGCCAGGCCTGCGTCGAACGCTCAGCACAGTCGCAGCGAAAGCTGAAAGAGTGGCCTTGAGCTTCTTTTAAACACTCTTTGGGAAACGGCCACAAACACACCGGCAGGGTACCCACTACACTATAAATCATAATATTTGCGTAGTAGGGTTGGTTGGTCGGTCGGTCGTACTGGCGCAACCCGCCACGGGGAGTAGGTAATGAAATGAACGGTGCCTTATTTTAGAATTTTTTTTTTGCCAGGCGAATACATGTTGGTAAAATGTGGATTAAAAATATAATAAATAAAGTAGAAAATCGCAACAAGCTAACATTGATTGATATGTAGGATTTAACGTTCCAAAATCACTTATGATCATGAGAGACGCCGTAGTGGAGGGCTCCGGAAATTTCGACCACCTGAGGTTCTTTAACGTGCACCCAAATATGAGCACACGGGCCTACAACATTTCCGCCTCCATTGGAAATGCAGCCGGGATTCGATCCTGGCACGACCTGCGGGTCGGCAGCAGAGTACCTTAGCCACTATAGACCACCGCGGCGGGGCAACAAGCTAACATAGTTGAAAATAAACTGAATTATTGATTTAGAGTTACATTTTATTCGTTTTGCTTCCCTTAAAAACAGCTCTTCGCAAACGTTCCTGTCGCTAAAGCACTTTTCAGTTGCTTCAGAGGACCACCGGAAAGAATGAATTTAAAGCCATCCTGTACAGAGAGGTTCTTCTAACAGTCTTTTCCTTTGAATCGCAGATAACCTGCATGTGAAGAGGAAAAGATGCAGAGATTTACACTCGTAGTGGAGGTACAAGGGTGACCGTGCCACAACAGACCCATCTAGGTAAAAATTCAGTAGGGGAACTTTGCATCGTAGTCTCGTAATTGATATTTCCACCCTTCTAGAAGAGCAACAGCGATTTTTCTAAGGGCACTTATGGTGATAAAAACTCGCATTTTGACAAACGAAACTTTCCAGTGTTAACCAATGTGGCAAATTTTTGTAATTGTGCCACGGTGACAAATGCTAGCGTCGGCAATATCGAAACTATGGGACCATTGTGTACTGACACTGCAAGTGCATTGCATGTGCATATTCATTGAGGGTTACACCTCGATTACCTGGTACCCAAACCAAGCGAATGTAGTATAGGGAAACATTCACTACGCCATCCTTCGTCGTCCTTTGGAGAAACGTGGTACCCGATACACACTATACCCAGAAATTTTGTGCCATTTTTGATGCTGTGGCTCACCACGATAAAGAATTACGCCTAAAGCTATTGTAATGGGTTGGAGCATTCGACGGCCCACTCGTTACGCAATTCGCATTGAGCGATGCCTCGTTTTTTTTTTTTGCTGCTGCTCTGAAACGCTCTATTACACACATTAACACGACTTCTTCCCCTACAGGAAGCCTGACTAGGGCCAGTTTGCAACGAAGTTTCAAGAAAAAAAAACAGAGGATCCGGGTTCAAACCCACTCTGTCCTTCGTTGTTTTGCACACTTTGTTTTTTTTTTCGCGATAGTGTTTACGGCCACGGGCGGCGGTGGCAGACAACTGCGGCGCACGTAACCATTGTTGTGATCTCATAACAGCCTCCTCTGTAGAAAGTACATGGCAATATAAACACACACACAAGAACATACCAAAAGGTGCTTGACACTTTTTCATATCTATACCTCCCCCCCCCCCCGTTTCTTAATCCCCTCCCCTCACCACCACCAACAAAAAAAAAATGGCGATGCCCCTAGATAAGCGCGTGAACTTACGTTAAAACAGCCATCGGGTGCATGCCACGTCCGATGGGCGTTGTTTGAAAGCTGATGGTACGAAAGAAAGCTTTAACATGGCTGGCCTTGCGGCTCTGCTATGATTGCTTCAGCTGCACGTGCAACATGCTCGTAATGAATTTAGCCACGTTCACAGTTCGTTACAGTCGGCCTTCGCATGAACGGTACTGAGGGATACCCACTCGTGAAGGCGGTTCTTGAATTCGTTGAATCCTCCGAAGCAGATGATCATGCCTTCAGCGAGGCTTAGCGAGTAGAAGATCTGCTCCGCGGCATTCTTCCACACCTGCGACGCCAAACCAACGAATGTGATAAACGAGTTCAGCTATACATTGTATTCATACTGATATTGGCAGCAAAAATCAGCGGGACACAGTACGAATCTGCACCAACTAGCCCGCTTTCAACTTTTCTGCGATAAATTGTTTCACTCCCTTAGTCTAGTTTGTTAGTACATCAATTACCTCTAACGTATGCCTACTTGCAAATGCATTCATCAAATATACTTGACTGCGGCGCAAAATACAAGGGGGTGTGGGAATTGAGGCTGGCCCGCTGCCTTTGCGCGGGCTTTCCCGCCTTTTCTGCCATTCTCATGTCCCGACATGTCTGCCCTCCTTTGCTGTCTGCCGCGATGGGAAGGGCGGAGTGACGTTTAACTCCCTCACCCGGTAGCGGATGTTGACTGTGGCGCCGCGCGCGGGGACTCGCAAGAGGTTTTCGCGCGCTGCGTCGGGAGCGGTGAGTATTCTCCGGGACTTCAAACGGTGAGCCACGCATTCTTTTCCGTCCGTCGAGTCCCGTCGCTCGGGGCTCGTCGGACTTCGCCGACGGCGCCTCGCGCTCGAGGCGAACGCTCACCTTTTGTTGCCCCGCTGCGTACTCACGGCCGAAGGGCAGTACGGTGTCCTAGTGCGTGGCCTAGCTACGCCGACCCGTCTCCCTCCGAAGCCAACGCGAGCGCCTTTGCCCTCGCTCGAGCAACCGGGCCCTTTGTCCCGGTGTCTCCGTGGATCACCTTTACCGCGGAGACGTGCTCGTGGCACCCTGTGTAGTACTTTGTGCCCGTGGCGTGGATAAGCCTATTTGCTTTCCCGCCGCGCCTTTTTGCAACGGGCCGTACTGCGTTCGGTGTTGCCACAATAAAGTGTTGCGACGTTGAGCAGTATCGTGTTTCCCGCCACGGCGACGGTTAACGCGTGCCCTGCGGCTCGCTAAGACCGGACCCACGCTGGTGGCCGTACTCCTTCGGGATACGTGTACACCACACTGGCGCCCAACGTGGTATCAAAAGCTCTAGCTTTTGACTGCTCTTAGCGAGTCAGTTCGCCTGCGCGATTCGGGCTCGTCGCAACATGTCTGCTTCGTGGCATGCCGCGTTGCACCAAGAGGCCACCGCCTCTATCGACGGGCGCCCTTCGGCGCTCGCCTGTGTCGTCACCCCTTTTTGTGGTGAATACACTCCTACGTGGTAGCTGACGCGCTATCTCGTGCCCCCTGTTGTCTGCCGAGAACCTGGATTTCGGTGCGACGGCCGCTCGCGGTGCCTTAGCACATGCAAGCGTCGGGGGCGAAACAGCAGCTTCGCCGCCATTCGGCGTGAAGGGTGAGTCCCCATGCGGACAAACCTTGGCTGCTAACCAGGTAAGCGGCGCACTGCGAAGCGGCCGAGCGGGGGAGCTTTCCGAAGGCCACGAGGCCGAGAGCGAACCCGTAACGCCGACTCACGCGGCGGTTGCTGCGGCCCTGAGTGGGCGCGATACCAGACTCCCCCATTTGGGAGAATGGGAATTGCTTTCGGCAGCGAAGAGCTACTGAAGGCTCAGCAGAGTGATCCGTTTCGAGTCTCGGAGGGACGGAGCGCCGTATACGCTGCTTGCTTTGCGGCGGGCGCCGTTAAACCGTCTTGAGAGGCGCGCCGTTACGCTGCTTGTTCTGCGGCGGGCGCTATTAGGGGGCTGAAACAGCGTGTGTCGCTGAGTCCCCGGCGGATTCATTTTGCTGGACCATGACGGGCTCCTGCTGAACTATATAGCCACTGACGACGAGTCCAGCGACCCGTTTAAGGTGGTTATGCCCAAAAGTCTGAGAGCCGCACTGTTGCGATCCTCTCACGACGAATCCATGGCCGGTCACCTGAGTGGCTCGAAAGTTTTTGCAAACTGAGCAATGTTGTGACCTGGCCCGGCACGAAGCGTGGCTTTCATCGCTATTCCGTGCCTGCCACGTCTGACAAACGGTTGAGCCAAGGGTTGGAAAGCCGCCCGATCTTATGAACCGATTGTCAGTGAGCGTCCGTGGCGCGTACTAGCTGAAAGATCCCCTTTGGGAAAACTCAGCCGTGCCCACATCGCAGACCTGAAGCCCTTTGTCACGGTCTGACGAGCTCGCGCCAGTGCCCTACGGCACTTCGCGCAAGCAACGGGCACACCCGGAGCGGCGGACCGCATTCGGACCCCGCACCGGTATAATCTGAGGAAGCGGTCACCTTTGTGATTTCGCGCCGGACGGCGGACTTCTCCGCAACCGAAGGCCCTCAGTTTACTGTCTAGCCTCAGTATAGGTTAGCTTCTTTACGGCCTTTTCTCGTAAAGGAGTTGACCCCGCCCTGTCTGCTGCCAGTGTTTCTTTTTTTTTTTTGAAGTGTTCATGTGTATTTTATGTTTCTTTTGTCTAATATTAAGTGTTATTTGTATTTTATGTTTTTTGCCAGATGTTTAGTGTCAGTTTGCTCTGTGTTTACTTTTTTTCGTGTTCGTTTCGTCTACCGCGAAGGGAGCTGTGTGTGACCTTGAGTGTCGGTGCTTGCCGGGAGAGAGAGAGACGAAGGACGCTTTGCGCCTACGCTCGCGCAGCTGTCGGCGGTGTGTGTGCGTGCGTGCTTCTGTGCGTGTGCAAGTGCGAGCCCGCGAAGAGTGCGTCATGGCTTCCCCCCCATCGACGCGGGCACTGGAGGTGCTGGGGGGCATTGACACACTGACGTCAGACCATCTGGCTGTGCTCTGCTCTCGGCTGTCGCCGAGGAAGCCCTGCTGCCTTTTCCCACCATGGCTCCTGCGCGAGGCCAGCTGAAAGCAGCTATATGCTGCCGGCCAACGCCAGGGCGCCTCGCAGCCATTTTTGGTTCTGCCTCCCTGACCACCGGAGAGGCCCGGCTTCCCGCAACGTCCAGCTCCGTCATCGAGCCAGAAATGCGGGGCCTCCGAACAACCGAAGCGGCTTTCGTCGGACTTGCGGCTGATCAAGAGCAGCAACGAGCCATCAGTGAGCCCCCTCCCGTACCTCTGACCTCGCACTCGGGCATCGCACCCAGCGGACACTGTCACGCCTTTCCGCCCCTTCCGCGCAGTGGACGCTATCCCACTTCAGCACCAACACGAACACTAGTCCCACTTTTCTGTGCTCCCTTCCGCAGTTATCTTTATAGTGTCGTGTGTTTATTTTGTTATTTATGTTTTTGTTTCTCCTTTGTAATCATATTTTTTTTAAGCAGCAGTAGCAGGGCTGGACTGAGGTTAGCTACCGCTCATAGCAGTGTCATTTTAACTGCATGGGTGACGTCCGGCTGCCTTTTGCAGACCGGTAAAGGACAAGTTTAGGAGAGGGGGATGTGGGAATTGAGGCTGGCCCGCTGCCTTTGCGCGGGCTTTCCCGCCTTTTCTGCCATTCTCATGTCCCGACATGTCTGCCCTCCTTTGCTGTCTGCCGCGTTGGGAAGGGCGGAGTGACGTTTAACTCCCTCACCCGGTAGCGGATGTTGACTGTGGCGCCGCGCGCGGGGACTCGCAATAGGTTTTCGCGCGCTGCGTCGGGAGCGGTGAGTATTCTCCGGGACTTCAAACGGTGAGCCACGCATTCTTTTCCGTCCGTCGAGTCCCGTCGCTCGGGGCTCGTCGGACTTCGCCGACGGCGCCTCGCGCCCGAGGCGAACGCTCACCTTTTGTTGCCCCGCTGCGTACTCACGGCCGAAGGGCAGTACGGTGTCCTAGTGCGTGGCCTAGCTACGCCGACCCGTCTCCCTCCGAAGCCAACGCGAGCGCCTTTGCCCTCGCTCGAGCAACCGGGCCCTTTGTCCCGGTGTCTCCGTGGATCACCTTTACCGCGGAGACGTGCTCGTGGCACCCTGTGTAGTACTTTGTGCCCGTGGCGTGGATAAGCCTATTTGCTTTCCCGCCGCGCCTTTTTGCAACGGGCCGTACTGCGTTCGGTGTTGCCACAATAAAGTGTTGCGACGTTGAGCAGTATCGTGTTTCCCGCCACGGCGACGGTTAACGCGTGCCCTGCGGCTCGCTAAGACCGGACCCACGCTGGTGGCCGTACTCCTTCGGGATACGTGTACACCACACTGGCGCCCAACGTGGTATCAAAAGCTCTAGCTTTTGACTGCTCTTAGCGAGTCAGTTCGCCTGCGCGATTCGGGCTCGTCGCAACATGTCTGCTTCGTGGCATGCCGCGTTGCACCAAGAGGCCACCGCCTCTATCGACGGGCGCCCTTCGGCGCTCGCCTGTGTCGTCACCCCTTTTTGTGGTGAATACACTCCTACGTGGTAGCTGACGCGCTATCTCGTGCCCCCTGTTGTCTGCCGAGAACCTGGATTTCGGTGCGACGGCCGCTCGCGGTGCCTTAGCACATGCAAGCGTCGGGGGCGAAACAGCAGCTTCGCCGCCATTCGGCGTGAAGGGTGAGTCCCCATGCGGACAAACCTTGGCTGCTAACCAGGTAAGCGGCGCACTGCGAAGCGGCCGAGCGGGGGAGCTTTCCGAAGGCCACGAGGCCGAGAGCGAACCCGTAACGCCGACTCACGCGGCGGTTGCTGCGGCCCTGAGTGGGCGCGATACCAGACTCCCCCATTTGGGAGAATGGGAATTGCTTTCGGCAGCGAAGAGCTACTGAAGGCTCAGCAGAGTGATCCGTTTCGAGTCTCGGAGGGACGGAGCGCCGTATACGCTGCTTGCTTTGCGGCGGGCGCCGTTAAACCGTCTTGAGAGGCGCGCCGTTACGCTGCTTGTTCTGCGGCGGGCGCTATTAGGGGGCTGAAACAGCGTGTGTCGCTGAGTCCCCGGCGGATTCATTTTGCTGGACCATGACGGGCTCCTGCTGAACTATATAGCCACTGACGACGAGTCCAGCGACCCGTTTAAGGTGGTTATGCCCAAAAGTCTGAGAGCCGCACTGTTGCGATCCTCTCACGACGAATCCATGGCCGGTCACCTGAGTGGCTCGAAAGTTTTTGCAAACTGAGCAATGTTGTGACCTGGCCCGGCACGAAGCGTGGCTTTCATCGCTATTCCGTGCCTGCCACGTCTGACAAACGGTTGAGCCAAGGGTTGGAAAGCCGCCCGATCTTATGAACCGATTGTCAGTGAGCGTCCGTGGCGCGTACTAGCTGAAAGATCCCCTTTGGGAAAACTCAGCCGTGCCCACATCGCAGACCTGAAGCCCTTTGTCACGGTCTGACGAGCTCGCGCCAGTGCCCTACGGCACTTCGCGCAAGCAACGGGCACACCCGGAGCGGCGGACCGCATTCGGACCCCGCACCGGTATAATCTGAGGAAGCGGTCACCTTTGTGATTTCGCGCCGGACGGCGGACTTCTCCGCAACCGAAGGCCCTCAGTTTACTGTCTAGCCTCAGTATAGGTTAGCTTCTTTACGGCCTTTTCTCGTAAAGGAGTTGACCCCGCCCTGTCTGCTGCCAGTGTTTCTTTTTTTTTTTTTTGAAGTGTTCATGTGTATTTTATGTTTCTTTTGTCTAATATTAAGTGTTATTTGTATTTTATGTTTTTTGCCAGATGTTTAGTGTCAGTTTGCTCTGTGTTTACTTTTTTTCGTGTTCGTTTCGTCTACCGCGAAGGGAGCTGTGTGTGACCTTGAGTGTCGGTGCTTGCCGGGAGAGAGAGAGACGAAGGACGCTTTGCGCCTACGCTCGCGCAGCTGTCGGCGGTGTGTGTGCGTGCGTGCTTCTGTGCGTGTGCAAGTGCGAGCCCGCGAAGAGTGCGTCATGGCTTCCCCCCCATCGACGCGGGCACTGGAGGTGCTGGGGGGCATTGACACACTGACGTCAGACCATCTGGCTGTGCTCTGCTCTCGGCTGTCGCCGAGGAAGCCCTGCTGCCTTTTCCCACCATGGCTCCTGCGCGAGGCCAGCTGAAAGCAGCTATATGCTGCCGGCCAACGCCAGGGCGCCTCGCAGCCATTTTTGGTTCTGCCTCCCTGACCACCGGAGAGGCCCGGCTTCCCGCCTCGCAGCCATTTCGACTCCGAACCATGCCTGGAACGTCGCCTTTTGCCCGCCTCGTGAAGTGATCCGCCGGACTAGCCGCGCGGCGCTCCGTCCTGTGTTTACCGTCCGCCGCCCGATACGCCTTTCGGCCGCTTCGTCCGAGTCATTTCGTGCCTTTGCCTTTTGTTTCGCCGACCGTCGTGCTGACGCCCACCCGCCCGATGAAGTAGCTCGCCTGCAGAGCCGAACCAACTTGACCTGCCCGCCTTTTTCGTCTCTCGTGAGTCTTGTGCTCCTTCTGCTAATTTCTTGTGAACGCCATGCCGCTTGTGAACTGGAACGAGGCTACGCCTGAGGACCTCGCCGGCTTTACAGCAGACTTCCTCCGTGAAGAGTTGGTTCGCCGAAACTTGGACGCTACGGGGCCGAAGGAAGAAGTGATCAATCGTCTCCTCGCCGATATAGCCCAAAACCGCTCAATGACGCCTTTGTCGCCTTCCCCAGATTCCTCAGCGTCCAGCCAGCGCCCGAACACTACGCCGCTTCCTTCGAGCTTCGATGCAGCCCAAAGTACCGAGTTGCTGACGGGTTTACTTCAACAGCTCCTTCAAGTGTCACAACGCGCTGCAGCGCCAGTTCAGGTCACGACCCTTCCAGACCTGTCCGCATCGCTTCCTACATTTAATGGAGACGGCAGCATTTCAGCGTCCCACTGGATTGAAGAGTTGGAACGAACTCGAAACCTAGCTTCGTGGGAGCCTTCAACCGTACTCGCCGTCGCTCTGGGAAAGCTCCGTGGAGCAGCCGCGGATTGGAAAGCAGTCATTGGCCGTCAGTGTCCCACCTGGGACGCCTTCAGGCAAGCTTTCTTGGATCAATTCAGCGCCAAGCAAACCTTACTACAGTGGCAACAAGCTGTTACTTGTCGCGTGCAAGCGCACGGAGAGAACCTGGTCCACTATTCTTTGGCGAAGTTGAAGCTCATTTCGGGATGCCCAGTCACTCTTACCGACACTCAGCGCATAGAGTACGCCCTTCAGGGCATTTCCGACGAGAACCTGGCCACTACTATAGCAGCACAACGGCCAGAAACCGTCGCCGCCTATATGGACATCGTAACGCAGCTTGACCAAACATTGAGCCACTTGTCTCGTCGACTCCCACGCCCAGGGTATTCAAGCACCAAACTAGTAATGCCAAGCCCACAGGTGCCCCACCACAGTGAAGAGCGCACGAATGTTCAGGCGGTACCAGACAAAACAAGAACTGACAAACAAGAAACATGACTATTCTTGTACTTGAACTTTTTTTTTTTTTTTTTTTCACACAGCAAAACCTGCTGAGCACTACTTTCGTGCAGTTTTCAGTATAGCCTTGTATGGCACGGCAATTGTGGACTGCATTTCCAGTTTCCTTTCTATGTGAATCAACGCGTTCCTTTTTTTTGTACCACTGTATAATCTGTTCAATATTTTTTTTTTTTTTTTTGTACTTCCTGCATTTGTGTTCATTGTACCGCCCACCCCTGCCCAAAGTCTGGCATTCAGACTGGCAGTATTCTCCTAAATAAAAATATTTTTTTTAAGCAGCAGTAGCAGGGCTGGACTGAGGTTAGCTACCGCTCATAGCAGTGTCATTTTAACTGCATGGGTGACGTCCGGCTGCCTTTTGCAGACCGGTAAAGGACAAGTTTAGGAGAGGGGGATGTGGGAATTGAGGCTGGCCCGCTGCCTTTGCGCGGGCTTTCCCGCCTTTTCTGCCATTCTCATGTCCCGACATGTCTGCCCTCCTTTGCTGTCTGCCGCGTTGGGAAGGGCGGAGTGACGTTAACTCCCTCACCCGGTAGCGGATGTTGACTGTGGCGCCGCGCGCGGGGACTCGCAATAGGTTTTCGCGCGCTGCGTCGGGAGCGGTGAGTATTCTCCGGGACTTCAAACGGTGAGCCACGCATTCTTTTCCGTCCGTCGAGTCCCGTCGCTCGGGGCTCGTCGGACTTCGCCGACGGCGCCTCGCGCCCGAGGCGAACGCTCACCTTTTGTTGCCCCGCTGCGTACTCACGGCCGAAGGGCAGTACGGTGTCCTAGTGCGTGGCCTAGCTACGCCGACCCGTCTCCCTCCGAAGCCAACGCGAGCGCCTTTGCCCTCGCTCGAGCAACCGGGCCCTTTGTCCCGGTGTCTCCGTGGATCACCTTTACCGCGGAGACGTGCTCGTGGCACCCTGTGTAGTACTTTGTGCCCGTGGCGTGGATAAGCCTATTTGCTTTCCCGCCGCGCCTTTTTGCAACGGGCCGTACTGCGTTCGGTGTTGCCACAATAAAGTGTTGCGACGTTGAGCAGTATCGTGTTTCCCGCCACGGCGACGGTTAACGCGTGCCCTGCGGCTCGCTAAGACCGGACCCACGCTGGTGGCCGTACTCCTTCGGGATACGTGTACACCACAGGGGGCAGAAAAGAAGAAAACGAAGCGCCGTCATGTGTTTGCTGTTCACGCATGCACGGAAATTTCTTTTTAGAGCGAAAGTTGTATATATGGCTACAAGAAAAAAAGAAAACTGACCAGTATAGCTGTGTCATGAGCGGGCAAATACGGCCGCCGCAGCCGGGATTCAGTCCCGCAACCTGCTGGTCAGCAGCCGAGTACCCTAGCCACTAGTAGGCCGGCATTCGCTATACTATTTTTCGGCATTATTCTGAGAAGCGTGGTATCCGCTAAACACTTGCAAGAAATTTTGTGCCAATTGTCCAAGCAGTGGCTGATGACGATGAGGAATTACGGCTGAAGTGGCTATGCGCCAAAGTTGATAGGGAAACAAGAACGAGCTTTTGTGATGATTTGGATAGCATTCGACGGCCCACTCGTTACGCTATTCGCATTGTGCGACGACTGGTTGTTCTTTTGCTGTTATAAAACGCTTCGTAAGTCGTATTAACGCGGTTGCTTTCTCGACATCAAGCCTGCCTAAGGCAAGTTTGACAACAAGTCACAATCACTGGTGCGGCTCAGTGGTAGGATACTGGTCTGGCACCCAGCAGACCGGGGTTCGAGCACCACTGTGCCAATGGTGATAGGTCTTGCCTACCTAAGGCAAGTTTGACAACAAGTTACAAGCACCGACGTAACTCGGTGCTGGAATATTGGGCTGAAACCAAGCGGACCTGGGTTCAAGCCCCACTGTGTCATTAGTGCAATGTTTTTTTTTTCTTTTTCAATTGCGTGAGCGATGTGGTTACGGACACCGGTGGCGGTGGCGGACAACTACAACTGCGCGTGACCTGAAAAGCGATCTCATAACAGCTTTCGCTGGTATATAACAAGGCTAAAGAGAGAGAGAGAGAGAGAGAGAGAGAGAGAGAGAGAAAGAGAGAGAGAACTCCATGTCTGCAATGTTTTCGCAAAAAGTTAACTATGTACCTTACACCGTGTCTAGCGCAACCGTCACGATGCTGGACGATCTCTGAACAGCGTAACGCAAGTAGTTGCCGGTTCGAAAACGCCTCATGTGTCACAATAAAACCTGGCAGAGCGCCAGTGCCGACCTTTGCGCGCAAGATGCTGGACCAGTCGGGCACCAGGTAGAAACGGATCCCGTCCGCAGCTCCCGGAAGTGTGATGCCGCGCACGAACAGCATGCCCAGGATGAGAAAGGGAGCCAGTGACGTCACGTAGACAGCCTACAGCGCCGGCAATCAAAGGTGACTTTCGTGCAGTATGGCAATGATGGAACTACTACACTGTTGAGAAGCTGTCGAATTACTGTCGACAATTTTCGATAACTTGGACGTCATAACCCTCGAGCTCCTTCAGTTTTGTTTTAAATACGGAACCGCCAAGTCAAACCTGCCTGCAAGTTTTGGTTTCCTTCGCGCAAAGCTCCGTTATGAACCCTTACGCTATAGTGCCAAATCAATTGTCGTTTCATGGATGCGCGGTTGCTCATTGAAGATACGTGGATGAGTTTGCAAAACACCTCGAAGACAACAGTGCGAACGACAGCACGAAGTGCATTGATCGATTTATTTGATCGACTGATTTATTTATTTTTTTCGCGATACTCCATGTGCTTTCGAGAAGGTGATACAGTTTTAGTTTTTTTTTCTTTCCCTTGTCAAAATCAAACAATCAATGAAACCAGTGGAACTTTTTTGAAGACAGGAAATCGCTCATACAAGCATTGTTGTAATACATACGCACTTATCAGGTTGTGACTAATAGCTTGTTATAGATATGCGCTTGTTAAAAAAGGAGACGATGAGTACCAACTCAAACAACTACTTCCAACATGCACATATTTAGATGTTTTGAATTGAGAGAAAAAAAAAAGACTTGCATGTTAGACTGAAATTAAGTTATCCTGATTCTACGCGGTTGTTCGAGATACATATATGCGACAACGAAACGATGACATATCTGTTCCGCACTTTTCCCGACGTCTTGATTCCCTTGAAGACGCACAGGTACACGCACAGCCACGACACCACCAGGGCGCCGGCCAGTCGAGGCTGTAGCGAGCCCAGCTCCTCGATGCCACTGCTCAACCCAAGCACGTTGCGACTGCATCATCATAAGGGGAGGAAGCGGGAGCAGCAATACATGACGTTACAGTCGGCGCGTGATGCAGCACATAGAACAATTATGACACCACGAAGCGAAAGCCTGTTGTCATCTCGCACCCGGGACACTGATCTGTGGCCACGTGTGATTCCTGTCGATATTAGGAACCATGAGTTAAAAAAAAAACGTTTTGGAGAGCGCCAAATTGGTGACCTTTATTTTTTTTTCTTGAACTTGTTTGCCAAGCATCAAATTTCTTTTTGTCTTTGGGTTAGGGAATCAAACTAATTTAGACAACCAGTTATTACAATAGCAAATTCCCAATCCCCGCAATTATGAATAAGCGTTATATTATGGAACATTCTCTGACTATGTCAACATTCGGGAAAAATTAAAGCAATACTTTTTCGGGAGAAAAAAAAACCTCACTTGGTTCGAGTGCTATACCATGCTAACATTATTCTTTTCATTTATTCATTTGTTGTTGTGTTGTAAAAATATGTTTACAATTATTGAAGTAGTGAATTAATGAAATAATATATATATATATATATATATATATATATATATATATATATATATATATATATATATATATATATATATATATATATATATATATATATATATATTTATTTATTTATTTATTTATACTTAAGGGCTCGTTTTTCCGTGTTTTGACACAATGTTAATGAAATCTAACAGACAATAATGCCAAGGAAAGTATAGGGGAGGTTACTAGACTGAATTGTAAGGTAAATGGGATGAAAGAAAAGTGGGTGAAAAGATAACTTGCCGTGAGCAGGAACCGAACCTGCGACCTTCGAATAACGCGTTCGATGCTCTACCGCTAAGCTACCGCGGCGGCTATCCTCCCAACTACTTTATTGGGTATATATGTGAATTTAAACGTGGGAGCGTCAGTCAGCGCCATCTGTAGCCATGGTGGCGAGTGTGGCACACTCTTTATGAGCCTGTGTGGCGTCTCGTAGCACGTGAACTTATTACGAGCTGGCAGCTGACCAATAGTCCTTCGTATACAACCTAAGGCAAAGAGTCTGCCAGTACGAGACCATCGTTAATGAATAAGGGAAATAAGTGTATACTTAAGGGCTCGTTTTTCCATGTTTTGACATAATAATGAAATCTAAGAGACAATAATGCCAAGGAAAGTATAGGGGAGGTTCTTAGACCTAATTGTAAGGTAAATGGGAAGAGGGTGAAAAGATAACTTGCCGTGGGCAGGAACCGCACCTGCGACCTTCGAATAACGCAGGTTCGGAGGTCGCAGGTTCGGTTCCCGCCCACGACAAGTCTGCGCAAGTTCCACGAGGAGAGCACCCACTAGAAGAACTGCTCGGGCGCCGTCTGGGTGGCCGTAGTGCAGCTGTTGGCGAGGAGCTCGTACGCCTGCCTCGGCACGAGCACCACCTGGGCTCCGTGGTGGATCGCGTGCGCGTCGGGACCCGTGTAGTTCGCTTCGGCGTACAGCCTCAGCAAACGAGGCTCGACCGTCCGACAAGGCACCTGCGCGAGCCAGGTGTGTACCAACACTCTTGCGTTGCCAAGGCGTGGAGGGCGCGGAAGCGTCTACAACTATACGCACAAGCTTTGTGCACGTTGTCGCCATTGAACTGAACACACTCTCAGGTACCTCGCAAACTAGCCAAAGCAACCAAGTTGCTGTTCCCATAAATGTTTTCGAGGGGAGTGGGTGATTCAATCACTGTTTCTGTGCGGTCGTTCGTGTGTTTATACGGGTGCGGGCGTACACACATAAGAACTTGAAAAATCTCGAGGGGGTTTCCCATGGTTACGCCGATGACCATGACGCTGAATTCGTATTATCCGGAAAATCCAGGAGAACATCATTTTAGACATGTCCTGGCAAGACGTCTATATCCTCGATATGAGTACACAAAGAGTACCAACAGGAGGCTCAGCTTTGTTTATTTCAGCACATAACTGTGTAATTACTCGTTATCATTGCTGCTAGTTGTTCGTTTACGGCAGGCCGAATGCTTTGCCGAGCGATGTGCAATTATCATCGCCACGTATCGCAGCTGAGCCTGTGCACTTATTCATCTCGCGGTGACGAGAAGTGATTGAACAAGTGTAACGTTGTTTGACCCAACATCACGACAGGCGAAATTACGCTCGTCAAGACTTTTCAGGAAGAAATCTGGCAACTATAGTGACAGTACTTGTTATTTTTTTCTCATCACGTCAGACTTCCCTGCCCCCTCCCCCGAGCTTGTATAATTTTCGTCATATCTCTTAATCACCTCCTTTCCTAGATTTGAGATGAGACCAAGGACCCTCTAACAAGCGACCGAATGAAAACTGATTGGCAAATATAGAGCAGGGGTTCGACCACTGAATACGAGGGTCCTCTATTTATCGACACACTCGCCGTCTTTTGCTGCCAGTTCCTGCAAAATGGCTGGGTAAGGTGAATGAGCGAGCTTTAACGCGCCTACATACAGGTACCCTACTATGCCCTGACTGCCCTGCAGTTATAAAACACTTCTATCCGAACACGGATGGGTGGATACCCACACTGTGGGAAGACCTGTAACATCTCCCACATGGTGTGGACATGTACGAAAAATTCCCACCTGTCCCTTTCTCGAGAGGCATAGGTGACTGCCGTTGTCAGCTGCTCCTCCCCGAGGTCTCAACGGACTCTGGTGAGACGGGCGCGAGTCGGGGCCTCGTCATGCGGTGTCCCGGACTACAGGGACGCCAACCATGTAGCGGGGTCATGCCTTGACCCCCAAACTCCCCTTTTTTCTTCTTTTGACAACAAATGTTTGCATATCTCTCTCCCGCAAGCTGATTCCTTTCTTCCGGTAGACCCCTCCCCTTCTGAGCCCTTCTTTCGCTTCCCCGCCTCGCTTCCTAGAACAAATAAATGTCCAGTATCCGGCCATGGAAGCTGCCTGTGTGGCCATTTCAGCTATTAGGGCAAGAAAATGGGTGTATATCTAGACGACAGGTATTCAAACCGACAAACACGGCCCACGTGGCCTAGAGTTTGGCTATCGTTTCTGCGATTCAAGAATTGGTCTCATACATTGAAGAGAGTCAATTAAGAATGCCTATGCGTGAACTGACGCGGTCCTGATGGCGCGGCCAACAACTTACTACGCCCGGTGAAGGGTTGTAACAGTCGCTGTCGGCCCAGTCGGAGTAGTCGCAGCTCGCCCAGGGCAGCGTCTCGTGGAAGGAGTAGATCAGGTAGAGCAGCCCGTATCCCAGCAGCACGTTGTAGTACAGACTGATGAACGCGCACGCGTACACCATGGCCCAACCCACGCCTGCGCACGTGGTTTGATCCAAGGCGTCACTTGCAATTATACCCGCCGTAGTATCAGTAACCAAGTGATGACGTTATCAACGCCTCTAGGTGCCGAGAGTTTCGCTAAAATTATCTACTCGATAGCTCCAAGAATATGGAAAGAAACCATAAAAAATGTTTTAGTCTAGCGAAATCCCTAGCTCCAGGTTAGAACTTGATCATGACCGGGGCTCGCTTTAATTTTTAAAGGAACCCAGTAGGAGATTTATTTTACAGTTTCGGGTGCCACTTTAGGGATAATGAAAAATTATTTCAATCACCTTTATTAATACACGTGTGTACGAAGCTGCATAAGTAAGCGAAGTTGAATAAATAAGAAAAAACCGATGACATCATACATGTCAATGCATTCGTTAATGTAAAGAAAAAATTCTCTACTCCAGACGATCTATTGAAGCAATGGCGTTAAAAGAGCTCGTTTCACAGAAATACCGGCGTCGGCGTCATTGGTTGTGAGCGAAAAGTCATCATCTTGTGCATGACCGAGAAATCGAGAAAGATGCAAACAAAATAAGTAATGAAAAGTTTCGAGTCCGAATGGGAATCGAGCCCGGGTCATTTGCGTAGAATGTGGGTGTTCTACCACATAGCCATGAGTTGTTGTTTTTTTTTATTGCTACACAGCCTGTGAATGTGTCTGCATGTGAATACTGTGAAAATAACTTTCTCTGCTTGTAAATGCCGTAAAAGTAACCTTCATGATTTACCAAGCATACGCGTTCAGTATACATGCTTCGCAATACATAAAATATTGCAGTAATGCATTATACAAGCGTACATTGCTATTGGGCGTAAAAGCATGTGATTATCATAATGACTTCATTTTTTAAAAGTAGTCGCCCATTACAAAAGGCACACACGTCACTGCACCTATTCCCATAAAGCTACGTAGTGGTGCATAGAAAATTCGAAATGATTTCATGATCTAAGTGTTTGAAGTACGCACTATATAGGGACAGGACATTGCTAATGCGTTCAACTTTTAAAGGCAAAGCTTAAGGGTCCCCCAATTATTGGCACTTAAGGCTGATGATCTAGCACTCACTGTTAGTCGCCTCGCACACTCCATTAATAAATAATAAATTAAGAGTGATTTGACTCTTATTTACTGCACATGTGACTCTCACAAGTATGACTCTCTTTAAGCCCGTTGACTCTCCCTGCAAGAGTCGTGGGACGCACGACTCTGCGAACGAGAATCTACGCGGCTCTCTAAAAAGAAGGTAAGCGGAAATACGAGTGAAAAGAAAAGTGGAAATTCAAGGGTGTGTGCGTGTTAGTGTGGGTGTGCGAGCGTTTTGGTGTCCTTTTGTGCGCCGCTTCAACAAAAGGGCTCGCTTTTCTTTGTTAGACACAGTATATGATAACAGACAATGATGCCAAGGAAAGCATCATTATATGTTAGTCATTATTATACCTGTGAGAGTCCCGTATGTGGTAAAAGAGAGTCGACGGACTCTTTATTTCTGAGCGTGTGTAATAAATAGCAGGGGCCCATCGGTATTGACGTCGTTAGCTATAGCATCTACAAGACACGCGCAGAAGTGCATCCTCACCCTTGGCAAGGGGGAATCCTCCGAAGGCGCGAGCCTGTGATTCGCTGGCGAATTGACCCAGGACGAGCTCCAGGTAGTACATGGGACGACCCAGCAGGAGCATGAGGACAATATACGGCACCATGAAAGCGCCTGCACGCGGAACGGCAAGAAGATCGCGGTGACTGTGGTCGACCTGAGCATGTGATTAGATCATGATCATGCATTTGGTAGGCGCTTTATTATGTGCTTTCACACGCCATTGTAGGTGGGAAATGCAAGAGGCGAGGACGAGAAACATGCGCGTTCTCCGCAACGCTCAGTCGAACAAAAATCGCTTCGATGCCCGCTGGACATCAGCGGTCAATCTTCGTGATGACCCTTTCTTTTTACAGCTAGATATTACAGTGCTTGATAATGATGACATTTCTCCTCCCCACACTTTGTCGAATTCGAAAGCAAGCAAGCTTCGCAATGGATGCAAAAAGTCAGTTCGCAGCAAGTCTGAAGCAATTATTGTGATAGCAAAAAAAAGCATGTAATAGGAAATGAGGTTGGCAACTAACTATTTTGGATGCTATCTCACGCAAAGACTCTGGTGTAAGAGAATGCGCCCGATCCAGGCACTTTTCGCGCCGTCTCTTGGCATTGGCAGCGCAGCACGTACGCCCACTGATGGCTGCTGGTTAGCCCGATAACGCGCGCGTTAGCCACGATCGCGCTTGTAAAACCAAAAGTCACAGTTGCTGCTCGTGCGCCCCCTCCAAGCGCGTATATAGCCAGAATTGTTTTTCGTGGAGGGGGGCACCTCTTGGTCTCGAGAGGGGGCACCCTCTTGGAATGGTCATTTTTCGCTCTCTATGCCATGGCGAAAAAAGCTTGTGGGGAAAGGGTACGGGTTCGGTGTGTCCTCTCTGGCTACGCGCAACGTTCTAGCAACGTTAACTACGCTCCCACTCCCCCGCCTTTGCATCTTTTCACGCTCATTAAAAAAAGGCTGGAGCGTTTCCTCTCTGCTTCAGCATTCAACGGTCGGTCTATAACAGGCGAGGAGATGTTATTGCACGCGCCTCGCAGCGACGGAAACGGACTGGCTTGTTTTATTTCTGCGTCAGCCGCGATCGATGGCATTTACACGCGACATGACGCCAACGGCGACGGCAAGAGCCCGCCTAGACTGTTCATATAATTGCTATCGCAATAAAATGAAAGAGCCCACCTAGACTGTTCATATAATTGCTATCGCAATAAAATGAAAGTGAAGCACGGAAGTACATAGCCTGCCTTCGGTTCCCGGCCTTTTTTTTTTATAAGATGCTCTGTATGCAAAATGAGAAACAACAAAAAGTGTTGCGCACCACAATTTCTTGTTTATTATTTTTCTTATCTCGCAGCACATCACAAGAATGAATGGATTGTATAATTCTTGGAATTATATATCAGGAGACTTCGGCCGCAGTTATATCGTTGAAAACCTGCATGTGCATAAGCAGCGCATTTGAAACTATAACGACATATGCCCGACCGAGTCGGACAGCCTTGCAGCCCCTCTCCCCTAATAAATGATTAGAGGATGGCGCGTTTGCCTTCACCCTGTGCGCACTGGTGCAAACTGACTATATGGTTAAGGTAGTGAGGAATGTGCTATCGAGTTACCGCGCTGTATTGACACTACTGCAATGAAGTGGCGTAAATAAAAAAATCACAAGGTGATCACACACCTTGCCATGGCGGATTAAAAGCATGCCTTAAAATCATTTGAAAAGCGAACATAGGTTTCCAACTCAATCGCATTGTTCTATTGACTCTTCTCTGAAATCGGCAGCTGCGTATCGCAAAGCTGGAGGGCATACTGAACACCGGTACACGCTACAAGAAAAACGGGCGCTAATCAAAGTTGGTACAGGAGTTATTCACTAAGCTCTTTCCACCAGGCGGCGTCAGCGAGTGAGCCGCCACAGTAGTGGTCCGTCAGCAATCCGGCATATGACAGCGTGATGTTTCGCGGCGTTGTGCCTCACTGACCCGTTTTCTTAGAAAATCACTAACATAACCGAAAACTTTCGTAATGGTCCGGCAGTAGCTGTCATGCCTTTCAGATGTACGATGCCTGAAAAATTGATTTCCATGGGCAACACTTGCAAAATGTCTACTACCCCGTCCCCCAGCCCCACAACCAGACTGAGCACAAGGGGCGGGGGTTGAGAATTAGCACACCTGATCCACCCGCGGTTTACGACTCTGCTACTACGCGTGTACTAATATATACCGACCTCCGCCGTTCTCGAAGGCCACGTAGGGAAAGCGCCAGACGTTGCCCAGGCCGACGGACAGGCCGACGGAGGAGAGGATGAACTCGATCTTGTTGGACCATTTCTCGCGCTGCTCGCCAGCCATGGCCGCGGTCGTCGGATCAAGTACCGAGAGAAGCTGGACAAGATGGCGGAGGGACACTGTCACCTGATTGTGGCCTACGTATCCGGCAGGCCGCAATGACCGTCGCTGATGAAATGGACAGCTTGACTGCGCGAGGCCAAAATGCTGCCAAAAGGGCACTGGCGTGAGGTGCTGGATCGCTTGCCTGCTCGAAATACGGAGGCGAGGTGCACAGCAACCGAACAAGCGGCTGAACACCTCGAGCACGTCTTCTTCTTCTGCGATGCGCGGTGTTGATGATGATGATCCTTGTTACTCTGGCGCACACCCATAAAGGGGGATCGGCCAACAGCCGGGCGGCAGGATCTTAAGTAAAAGGCTTATGGTTTTTTCGCACGTAGTTATCGCGGTCGAGCATAATGAAGTGACCATAACCTAAACTTCGCTGCTGGGTTACCTCCCTCAACTTCTAGCTGCATAGAGCAAGTCAAGCGCTGTCTCCTCTGTGTATCTTCTGTAAGGAGGAGGAAACAATCAGTCATAACTTTCTATCCTGTCGCCGGTATACGTCATTGAGATGAAGATTCATGGTACCACCTCTTCGAAACTTGGGTCTGGAAATATTCGAATCAGTTGTTCTATCAATCGGCGCCTCTACTCTGGGCTACAGTCACAGGGATGTTTACTACGCCGTAGAGGAATTTATCAGTCAGTCAGACTAAAAGAATATAGAGCTAAGATCTTCATTCTTTTAAGCATTTTAATATTATTATTCAGCAATTATTTTATTTGTTGTGTAACCTATCCCTAGAATATACGAGTAGTATTGCGAAGAAACAAAAAAAATTCGCCTAACACTCCGACAATCCCTTGCATTGGATATATATATATATATATATATATATATATATATATATATATATATATATATATATATATATATATATATATATATATATAGTGTGTGTGTGTGTGTGTGTGTTCAACCAAACCCCATTATATTGCAAGCAAAAGGTCTTGCCTGTTTACAGTCCACACCCACCCCCCTCCCCTAAAAGAATGAAACCAAGTTTAAAACTTGTAGCAACGCTCCTGGCAGGTATTCAATATTCAATTCAAACTATATCCGTCTCCTTGTGTGGGTGTGAGCCTCGAAGTAGGGCATCATAATCATTACCCGCAAGTACGGTGCACTAAAATATCTTCCAGTACACTGTGCCGCAAGCATGGCTGCCTACCTATAGGCGTGCCCACTGGGAGAGACGAAGGCTGCCCTTCTCCTTAATCACCTTCCCTTTGTCGAACAGGAATAGCTGATGTCGCATATTCAAAGAATTGCTGACTTTCTACCTTTACCACGTTGAGACGGGGTCCCATTTCAGGGAAGCCTTTATGAAAGCGCATCATCACTACCGTTGCGGAGCTCGTATTCTTTAGGACTCGCCCAACGGAGAGAGGGTTGCGGAGACACTTGGACCTTTTAAAGGAAAGACCTGCGCAAGCCTATAACTTTTTTTTTTTTTCGCGTGCGGCGTCCTCTGGCGCATCTAGTGTCGGAGGTCAGGTTATTCCAATTTCGAAGACCCACTGGAGCGGCAGGCAACACAATGTGGTAGTTTGTGTGCCGTGCGCGCCAGGGCGTGCGACCTGACCTGCCATAGCGGACTCGTTTGAGAGCGAGCCTATGCAAATGAGCATGCCCTTTCCGAACATAGCACGCTTTCGATCATAACCTGAGCATGAGGGGAGGAGGTAGAGCTCCCTTATTCACTTAAAAGGGAGGCGCTGGGTAAGCCCCATACATTGACATAACAGGCAGGTGGTGCTGCGACAAACCTTCACCCTTCGATCAATCGAACCTTCAATCAATCCTCAAGCACATAGCGATATTACTTAACTTTATGTCTAGGTGGCGTGGGCCACCACCCGATCTAAATGGCACAGCCGGATAGATCAATCCATCCATCCCACACTGAAGGGGAACCCTGCGCACGTCTGTTTTCGACCGCACTAGCCACCATAACTACACAGAGAACATGACTCGGTCATAGGTCCTTTAGCCGGTCAACAGATGTGTGGGATGACACTTTTATTTACATTATTTGGGCAGTATCAGTCAGCTCGACCAACTTCAGTCATAATAGGTCTCCTTGAGGGTCTAGCTGGTAAGAAATTGCTACCGATAAAATTACTACCAAGAAAACCGCGATTAGCTACCACTAAAAAATTGATCAGCGCAAGAAAACGTCGTACCTTCCGTGCACATATGGAAGACTGTGCGAGCGGACGTCCCCACCGAAGAGCGAGTAAACTCAGTCCAATCCTTATTTACTTTTTGTCCTATTTGAACTCATGTGTGTTTCGTTAATATTTAGCGCAACTATCTTTTTGTATTTCTATCACCACTCCCTTCTGCATCTCTTTAAGCTTCCACTGTTCTCTGAACAGCTGCCCCTTTTTAAAAAGAATAAACATGGAGCTTAGTTACAAATTAAAGGGACACTGAACATAAACAATGTCTTGGTTTAGACTGATGAACTGCACTCTGAGAACTATAATACCTTATGTTCTACTGTCATAAGCGGAGAAAGTCAATGTTGAAGCACCATTTCAGGCATGATGTAGCAAATTTTAAAATGCATTTGTTTCGTATTTTCGCGACATTGGCTCAATTAAATTTCTCGAAACTTCGTACGCTAGGTCTAGGGCACCCACGGAAAACACTGTACTTCATTTTTATCAAGTGGACGCTGACATCACGGTGTTTGGCGCGGAAATGTCACAGTGAAATCTCCCTCCACATTGTCTTTTGGTGCGTTTCTCGCTCACCAAACGTCATGTCGCGTTAGGAGGCGCGTTTTCGGGATTGCGAAATGGTACTTTACAAATAAGCGAAAAATCACTTTGCTTTTACGCGTCCCTTTGATGTGATGATTATTATTTTCATCAATGCATACTTTTCCAGGCAGTGGATACAATCTAACGAAAATGAAGAAGAAAAATAGACAAACAATGCGAAATGATAAATGAGGATGCCTGATTAAGAAAATGAACAATAATCACATTCCTCAAAGGGATACTGAACAAAAATGGGAAAAACTGACGAAACTTTGAAATTCCAGTCTGAAGGTGCCACTGTTTCAATAAACGGCGTTTGTTTCCCATATTTTTGAATGGTTGTATATTTAATGGATTGTGAGCAGTGACGGCGTACTCACCGAGGCGCATGCAGGATGCACGTGTTTTTGTCCTCCTCTCCCTTTTCTCCAGCTGTCTTCACAAAAGCGCTGGCACTTAGCCCCAGCCGGAAGCATTGTTTGCTCCGTTGCTGTTCCTACCAGTTCTAGGAACCGAAGTGGAAGATGAGCGAGTCGAGAGACGCGGGCCATGGCTGGCATTGTCAACGGGTAGGAGGCGTCGGCATTGTTGCTTTGCCAGCTTCCGGTGAGCTTGACGTCACCCAACGTCACATCCTCTAGTTCACGGCGCTGCCGCTAGGCGCGGCCGTTTGTGAAAAATGCTATAAATTCATTATTTTCCCGTAGTTTCTGCTTGGAATGAAGGTTGTTATTATCGATTTCAGGATCCAGTCTATCGATTTGGCTGAAAATATTGGCGGCAAAAAGCTTGTTCAGTATCCCTTTTAAAAAATTTTTCGTTTCCTATATAAAGGTAATGGAGGCAGTGTTTTATGGATTATGGACATTAAGTCGAAAGAGAGGAGGGGAGATTCAGACATTTTAAAATTGTAAATGACAATGACTATAAAAATGTTTGTGATCAATAACAATAAATATATTCACACTACTGCACTCCTTTCAATTACATATTTACAACCAAGGAGGTAAAAGTAGGTTATGCGCCATATGCCCAGCATAGTATTTCGCATACAAATAGCTCAGATATGCAGTAGTAGTCGTGAAGTCTTGGCATGAATCCTTTTATTGTAATGATTGATTGATATGTGGGGTTTAACGTCCCAAAACCACTATATGATTATGAGAGACACCGTAGTGGAGGGCTCCGAAAATTTAGACCACCTGGGGTTCTTTAACGTGCACCCAAATCTGAGCACACGGGCCTACAACATTTCCGCCTCCATCGGAAATGCAGCCGCCGCAGCCGGGATTCGAACCCGCGCCCTGCGGGTCAGCAGCCGAGTACCTTAGCCACTAGACCACCGCGGCGGGGCTCCTTTTATTGTAAACAAGAGATCCGTACAGATCCTGAAACGTCATTCTTCTTTCACTTTGACATGTGTCAGTGACCTGTTTTTTTAACAAGGCTTTTACCTGACCAGACGATGTTCTGTTGAACTCTCGACTATATCCTGAAACAACACGTAGGCAGGCCCATTTGCAGTACTTGCAAATTTTCCAGGTATGAACTAGGTAGCTCCGACTTTCAGGAGCTGAAGTAAAGTTTTTTGAGCATACAAGAACAAGTTCAGCAAACTATGACAACTTACTTTTGGTAAACCATCCACACAGCACATAAATGAACCTGCAAGCAGCATGCTTTTCCTTAATATCCTCTCCATAGTCAAGGTTGCTAGATTTTTAAAAGCAGCTGGCATGGGATTATAAAGAGCATTGAGGAAGGCAAGATAATTTATCAATTTGACTTGCCTAACCACGATCGGTTTGTCCTCAAGTGTGATCAGTTCTGGGCCCTGCACTTTTTTTCCATCCGATTTATTGATAACAAACACTCGCACCTTATAAACAACGCTCTCCTCCATGAATTACCAAATAATGCCAACATCATCATCCATATGTACATCTAGTTAGGCTAGTTCAAATAGTAAGTTTTAGGTATAATGATTTGGTCAAATAATTTGAGTCAAATGTGGATAGTATCTATCACATATTATAAAAGAAAATGTGCATATTTGTCATGACCCAACTAACCAGCACGATATATATTTTTAAATTGAAAGAAGGCATGCACAAATGTCATTCTTTTTGGTTCAAAAGAAGCGGAAGCAACTCTGAAAACATTTGACCCTCTTCATAAGAGGCATGCACTGGGGAAAAATTCTTGCCTTTTATCCAAGGTCTCTTATATAAGCAGGTTGTTACGTTTGCAGTTTCTTATCGGCCCCTATTTTCACGTAAGGCCACTGGTGTCTCTTATACACATTCGCTTTTTACATCAGTGTCTTTTGTATAGGGGTTCGAAGGAAGAAGCAGGATTTCGTTTTCAGTAAAATGCAAGTGATGACTGGTAAAATATATTGTTTTAAAATTTAGTAAACTTAAAGAATATAAGGCAGCATAAAGAGCTTTTAAACTTTAAAGAATGAGGAATCGGTGTAAGCATGCGAATGTGAATCAATCGGGAATAATTTAAAAAAAAAAATTTGTCTTCAGCCGTCTTATCTTAGGCGAGGCACAGAGGATCCCGTGTGTTTTTATATTCATTTACTTCAGTAATTAGTGATCCTGTATTGAGACTCCAAGACTGGGATGGCTTCAAAACTCTATTCCACAGCCTTCTAAATCAAGGCGAAGGGTGTAGCCAGAAGGCCGTTCCATGAGAATGACACAGTTGGTGGTAGTATGCGAGAGTCCTCGGCAGTGATCACTGCTCTGGTGGCTTCAGTGAGAGATGCACGAAGCAGAATGCTTCGGAAATGACTTAGGGCAAATGTAGATGAAGCAGCAGCCACTTTAGAACAAATCAAGATCATTGTAGAGGACAGGCTTCCTATGTTCAGTCGTGCCACCTTTCTGGTTGTAATTGGATGCTGCAAAGAGAGGGAACAGACAGAGAAAATGTTACAAGGTAATTCATTCTGCATTACGAAAACGCAGAAGGCAAATGTCTTGCACTCAACAAATCTGATAGTTAACTTGCAATTTACACAAATGTAAGTGCTGGAATAGAAGACAGCAAGGTCAATCGTAAGTATAACAGGAAAAGCTGCCCCTGATAGATCAACAAAAATGTATCGCCTATACACTACGCAGCACAACCCAATCCATAAAAACCTCCCATTGTCTTGAACAGAGTGACAACTGGAACTTGCTGCCGTTCCTTAATCAAGTTTGCAACCATAAATGCATACAAACACAAAATTACAAGGAGTCAAAAGCTCTAATCCGTGAAAAAACTTATGCCAGGAAAGAACTTTTATAATGTAAATGCAAGGTAAACAGCAGTAGTGGCGTCGGTACCGAAGCAGCAAGAGCAGGCCGAGTATACGGGCAGCATCGCAGCAGCAACGAGGCAGTCTTAGCTCGTGCCTCGCGCCAACGTGTCGATGTCGCTGCAGTAGTGGGCATTCCTCTTCACTACACTTTGTCCCCCGTCGGAAAAGGAGCCATCCTGGCGACTCACGGTGAACAGAGTACGAGCGGGTGGGTCGTAATAAGGTTTCAGCCGCTGTACGTGAACAATTTTACGTCCCCGAAAGCGCGCTGGTTTGTGGATGGTGAGACGTTGCGCGCTGGTCTGTGGATGGCGTAACGGGTTCGACGATGTAGTTAACTGGTGAAATCTGCGAGACAATGCGGTAGGGTCCCTGGTATTTTGAAAAAAACTTCGAGGAAAGGCCTGTAGGCACAGCGGGAAACCAAAGCCAAACAAGAGTGTCCGGAACAAAGTTAGGGTACGGGTGGTTATCGTCACGCCGAGATTTTTGTCTCCATTGGTCGATTGTTGTGAACGACTGGGCAAGCTTACGGCATTCCTCGGCGCGGCGGGCAGCTTCAGAGATGGGCGTAGACTCGGGGGAATCGGGGTGGTAGGGCAGAATGGTATCTAGTGTGGTGGAAGGGTCTCGGCCATATAACAGGAAAAATGGTGAAAAGCCCGTAGTCGCCTGTGGAGCAGTATTGTAGGCGTACGTCACAAAACGCAGAATGAGGCCCCAGTCGGAGTGGTCTGAGGCAACATACTTTGATATCATATCCCCTAGGGTACGGTTGAATCTTTCCGTCAATCCATTCGTCTGCAGATGGTAGGCGATGATAGTCCGGTGAATGATACGGCATTCGGCGAGGAGTGCGTTGACGACTTCAGAGAGGAATACACGTCCTCTGTCGCTGAGAAGTTGACGTGGTGCGTCGTGATGCAGAATGAAGTTCCGCAGGAGAAAAGATGAGACGTCGCGTGCTGTGGCAGAAGGCAAAGCGGCTGTTTCCGCGTATCGCGTCAAGTAGTCGACAGTGACAACGATCCAACGGTTTCCGGAAGCCGTGAATGGTAGAGGCCCATACAGATCAATTCCAACGAGGTCGAAAGGCCTGGCTGGGCAAGGGATCGGCTGGATCGGACCAGAGGCGTGATGAGGGAGAGCTTTGCGTCGTTGGTACTGAGGGCATGACTGAATGTATTTACGCACAAAGGTGTACATGCCTCGCCAATAAAACCGGGAGGAAAGCCGAGCGTATGTTTTGAAGACGCCCGCATGTGCGCACTGAGGGTCAGTGTGGAAAGCTGAACATATTGCAGCACGAAGATGGCGAGGTATGACGAGTAACCATTTTCGGCCGTCGGACTTGTAGTTCCTGCGATAAAGGAGGCCATCGCGGACCTCAAAGTTGCGCCGCTTGACGGCACAACGTTCAAGAAGATGGAGAAGTCGACGGGTCTGAAAGGAATCGCAGAAGAGTGCTGATACAGTCATCCTTACGTTGCTCAGACGCCATGTCACAGTTTTCTGGGAACGACACCATTTCGTCCACGGCAGATAGACATGCAGAGCTTTCGAAGGACACAGGTGAACGTGATAGGGCGTCGGCATCAGTGTGACGTCGACCGGACCTGTAGACAACACGCATGTCGAACTCTTGCAACCGCAAAGCCCTGCGCGCTAAACGGCCGGAGGGGTCTTTCAATGTGAATAACCAGCAAAGCGCATGGTGATCGGTGACTACGTCGAAGGGGTGACCATGTAGGTATGGTCTAAATTTACCTAGAGCCCATATAATTGCCAGACACTCCTTCTCTGTCACAGAATAGTTCTTCTCCGCTTTGGTGAGGGTACGGCTTGCGTATGCGACTACGTAGTCCTCGAATCCTGATTTGCGCTGCGCGAGCACTGCGCCGAGTCCAACACCACTGGCATCGGTGTGTACCTCAGTCGGAGCAGTCAGGTCAAAGTGTCGCAAGATTGGCGGCGAGGTTAACAGGCGGCGCAACTTTTCGAAAGCATCGTCACAGGTGGGTGACCAAGCGTAACTTTTCGAGTCACTGCGCAGAAGTTCAGTCAAGGGGGCGGTGATCATCGCAAAATTCCGAAAAAAGCGGCGGAAATAGGAGCAGAGGCCAAGAAAGCTGCGCACATCCTTCAGAGACGCAGGTTTAGGAAACTCTGCAACTGCCCGAAGCTTGGCCGTGTCAGGAAGGATACCGTCTTTAGAGACAACATGGCCGAGGATGGTGAGATGATTTGCGCCGAAGCGGCATTTCTTCAGGTTGAGCTGAAGGCCAGCGTCAGTTAGGCACTGCAGTACTTCATCTAGCCTGCGGAGATGCATCGGAAAATCTGTTGAAAATATAACTACGTCATCCAAGCAGCACAAGCATGTTTTCCACTTCAGGCCACGCAAAAGATTGTCCATCATCCGCTCGAATGTTGCGGGGGCGTTGCAAAGACCAAAAGGCATGACACAGAATTCGTAAAGGCCATCAGGTGTGACAAAGGCCGTCTTAGGCTGATCTTCAGGGGCCAGAGGGACTTGCCAGTAGCCACTCCGTAGGTCAATAGAAGAGAAGTACTCCGCACCTTGGAGGCAGTCAAGGGCATCGTCGATTCTCGGTAAGGGATAAACGTCTTTTCGAGTTATTTTGTTAAGACGACGGTAGTCAACACAGAAGCGAATTGACCCGTCCTTATTCTTAACGAGAACGACTGGAGATGCCCAGGGGCTATTCGAAGGCTGGATGACGCCACGCTTGAGCATGTCAGCTACTTGGTCATCGATAACCTGGCGCTCGGCTGCGGACACGCGATAAGGTCTTTGACGCAATGGCGCATTGGTACCCGTATTGATGCGGTGACACACAGCGGACGTGCGGCCGAGGGGAGTATGCTGGCAGTCAAAGGAAGAACGGAACTTCTCCAGCAGTCGTAGCAGCTGAGCACGTTGCGAAATGGTTAACGCGTCGGCGATGGAACTGCTGAGTACGTCAGGCCTAGTAGTCTGCGGCGAAGAGGCACAAGTCACTCCGGCGACTTCGTGTTTGGCGGAAGGACCAGTCGACATGTCAAAAATTGCAGAAGGGTCGAGACTGTAAACCCGCCCGACGCACTCACCCCGAAGTAGTGTTACAGGACATGACAAGAGGTTCGAGATGAGCAGTCTGCTGACGCCGTCATGAAGTTCTGGGAGGGCATAAGGTAACGGCGAACACTTGCGGCGAACGAAAAGGGCAGATGGCGTGAAAAGGGCACTCGACTCGGCAAGCGAGTTGCAAGATACCATGGTAAGGGCGAAAGAGTGCGGCGGTATGATGACGTCTTCAGCAACAAACAGTTTGTCCCCGGGTTTCAAGTGCATCATTTAACGGAGCGTCGCCAAACACTTCAAATTCTACCTCAGCGCGAGAGCAGTCGATGACGGCCTTATTAGCGGAGAAAAAGTCCCAACCCAAAATGAGATCATGGAAGCAGGAATCTAAAACTAGTAATTCGACGACAGATGAGGCCATCAATCGCGATTCGAGCAGTACAGGCAGCGGCTGGCGTGACGTGCTCTGTGCTGGCTGTACGAAGTGATATACTTGCTATTGGCGTCATAACTTTTTTGAGCAAGCGGCAGAGTCTGGCACTGATCACTGAAACTGCGGCACCAGTGTCGAGAAGAGCGAGTGCTGCGACGCCGTCCACATATACGTCGAGAACATTCGTTGGGGAAGAGAGAGGCCTTGGTCTTTTCGCGGGCGACGCAGTTCCTGCCTCTTGAACTGCGGCAATCAGTTTTCCCGCTCCGGCGATGAAGGACGACGGCGCATCGGAGATGGTGAGCGGCGTCGAGGTTATGGCGAGCGACGGTTAACTGGAGGGCGGTGGTCGGCGTACGATGACATCTGGTCAGGAGGCTGAGATCCTGTGAACGAAGGGCGCGGTGACACATAAGGGGCAGGTTCGAAGCTCTGGTGGTAGCTCTGGTGGTGGTAGATAGGGACGCGTCGACGGCAGTATCGCGCTATGTGGCCAGGTAGGCCACAGGCAAAGCATATTGGCCGATTGTCGACTGTACGCCATTGTCCACTACTCTGGACAAACCTTGGCTGAGCGAACCGAGGAGTGGGTCGGAGCGGCAGGGCTCAGAGAAGTGTCGTAAAAGTCTGAAGAGGTGGTCGAGCCGCCACTTCAGTATAGCTTAGAGGTGCATTTACCTCGGCACAGGCAACAGGGCTCGGCAATGGTGAAGTGTCACCGGCAGATGGCAGAGCCGCGCAAACTTGCTCCTGGATGACCTGGCGAATGTTTGCTGGCAGAGGTGACGGTGGTTGGCCGGCTGTTGATAGCAGCGATAGCTGACGAGCGACCTCAGCACAAACAAACTCCTTGATCTGTGATAGCAGATCAAGGAGTTTGTTCGTGAAGGTCAGATGTGGTGGTCAGGCTTGAGAGGGTGTCATCCGGGACGTCAGGGCGTCGCGTGAGAAGACGCTGTCGTCGCAGCTTGTCGAAACTTTGACACAACTCGATGACCTCAGAGACAGTGACAGGGTTCTTGGAGAGCAGCATATGAAAGGCGTCGTCGGAAATGCCTTTCATAATATGTCGCACCTTGTCAGTTTCTGCCATCGACGGGTTGACACGCCGGCAGAGGTCGAGGATGTCCTCTATGTAGTTGGTGAATGTCTCACCAGTTTGTTGGGACCAGCCTCGTACGCATTGTTCTGCACGAAGTTTGCGCACACTAGGGCGCCCAAAAACATCTGCGATGCAGGTTTTGATGGTGGTCCAAGTGGGGATATCCGCCTCATGGTTTCTGTACCACAGCTTGGCCACATCCGTTAAATAAAACATCACGGTACCAAGCTTCGTGGGATCGTCCCATTTGTTAGTAGCGCTGACTCGTTCATAAAATTCCACCCAATCCTCAATGTCTTTCTCGTCGGTGCCGCTGAAGATGTCGGGTTCTCGCAAGAGCTGGGCACCGGGACAGCCCCTGCGTGGCGAAGCCGGTGGGGGTGTGAAGACAGCGTCGTCAGGCATGACGGACAGCAGCTTTCGGCTACGCAGTTCTAGGACTGGGGAAGACCGCAGCACTCTCCACCAAAATATAATGTAAATGCAAGGTAAACAGCGGTAGCGGCGTCGGTACCGAAGCAGCAAGAGCAGGCCGAGTATACGGGCAGCGTCGCAGCAGCAACCAGGCAGTCTTAGCTCATGCCTCGCACCAACGTGTCGATGTCGCTGCAGTAGTGGGCATTCCTCTTCACTACACTTTTTCAATTTGTAGAAATTATGCAATCTGAAATCAAGAGAACTGGGAGCTTGCTAATAGTGCCTAACTGTATCTTGTACTGCACACTTATTAGAAGCAAGTTTGTATGTTAACAATACAAATCATCCCTGGTGTCAATTTCTCATGCCACATTAACAATTAAGTATGGTAACAAGGTGACAAAATGTACACAAACAATGGCACAGCTAGACTAAGGAATAACTTCTGGCCAGTAAATAATATATCAACCATTATGGTCAGTAAACAATCGAGATTCACTTTTGATCCAAGTCGTTGCTCCGTTACCAAAGTTATGCCATCACGCTAAAAATTTTCTGACTCATCATTTCTGCGTGCATAAATTCACGACAACACTGCCACGACACACTACACACCACTGCCGATGTACAATGCAAACGGTATTCAAGCAATAGTTGTAGATGTCGCTGCTTACCCACAGAATTCCACGTTGCTGGCGATCCGTCTGACGTCTGCGGTATCAAAGGCTGCCTCCGAGCAAAGGAAACCCTCAATTTGATTCCAGAGACTGCAGCTCCATTCATCTGCAAGACAAAAAAGGAATTTCAAAAATTAAATTTATGCCAGCTCCACACAAGGGACGCAAAGAGCGAAGGAAGTGCTAGCTGGGCGTCCTTCTTTGTATTTTCTCTTTCTTTTCTCCTTTTCTTTTTTTTCTCTTTATTTCTTCCACTTTCTAGCTTCTTGCTTCATATTATTTCCTTATCCTTTTCTATTTCACAATTGTTTTCTCTTTTTTTGTACTATTTTATACATGGTTTTGCCCGCATTTCACTAACGGCACTAGTCGTTTTGCTGAAAAGCGACCGCATCAAGGTGCTCCAGGAACAAGAGATGAAAGACTGCTCCTTGACGCGAGCACACGCTCACTCACCATCATCAAGCCGATTGAAGAATAAGAGGAAGAAACCACTTTAAAGCAAGTGCGCGCTCAATATGCTACACACGAAGCGTTACGCCATGCGACAATCACAGCATACTACGGCATGCATGCGTCAGCTCTGCCCCCTAAAGTGCTCTGCGCTTAAGAGAGATACTGCAGGTTAAATTCTTGTAACTCTAGTCTAGACCACAGTGTCAATGTGCACCTGGACTTAAGAGATTAGAAAACTGGTGGAGACTAACTGCATAGAGATTAAGTGAAAGAGACACATAACTAGGATTTGGAACCACTATATTCTATTCACATCTTTTTTTATTAAGTGCTTTTTGGTATTCAAGATGTGAAATAATGTAAGTATACAAATAAATTTTACACACCCACCTCAAGAACAGCTTTTTCAGCACAGTCAATCTTCTCAAAGGTGACGAACCCACAGCTAAACAACAGAGCAAAAAGTTACATAATCAAGACAGCAGGATATACAGCATTCTAATGCAGTTCTGCCCTACACAGCTTCATAAACACTCTCACCGCACACTTCACTCATACTAGCAAAAGCTGATGTTGGCTTTTGGAAAATTTGAAGCTTTATTCAAAACCTAGCGGAAAGAAGCATGTAGGAACAACGCCAAAGTCAGCGCTAGGTGTTTCTTCACACAATCTAGGATACTTGAAGAGGAGTCACTTGTGCTATATTCGGAAGTATCCGCACACTTTAGTTCCTCCTAAAAACCTTGTTCCCAGAGACAACCGTCAATAAGATGCAGACAACTTTATTTTTACAATGAAATGCCATAGTTTGGCTAGTGTTATTATAGTGTACAAATTTTTAAGGGCAAGTGTCAAGTATAAAATAAATTTAATGATAAGAGTTAATTACAGCTATCTTTAGTAAACTACTCAAATAACCATGTAGAGTTCGTTTAGTAACATTATATACTATATACAAGCACTGGCTCAATATTCCTTTTAACTACAAGAATTTATTGCCATGAATCTGAGTTTTCGCACATCATTTGGCTGCCAAAATCTAATATTCAATAAAGAGGAACAATCACTTCAGCAGGTAGGGGCAGGTTATGCTATAGTATCAGAAGCCTCTGAGCCAAGAAGCCTCTGAACCCATCTTATGCAGAATTCAGCCGATTCTGACACTGCTTTCACAGTCGTATTATTGGAACTCGATGTCATATACAATCCTGTGACTAGACTGGCAGGGCAAGCTCAAGGTTTTCATCATGATTTCCTTTTAGGCCAAGCTGTAATGTAACTTTACTGCACCTAAATGATTTACATATAAGTACAGTTTATATGATGTACTAGTGAAGCAATTCAGGCAAAGCTGCAGAAACAGTAATCGATCAATTTTTTTAACCACATCTCTTAAAAAGCACCAGGGCAGTCGACGTGTGCGCTTAGTGGCTGGAAGCTCTGACGAAAGTCCCAACACATGACCTTATAGTTTTTGGCTGATTGTGGCTGGCAGTGTATAGTCATATAAGAGGAGTACACTTTATGTCATGAATCACTTTCAGCAAGTGAGAATGTTGGCATTTTTTTTTCCAGTTTCTGTATTGGAAGCATCTAACACTTACAAGGAGGCTGCCCTTTGTCCAGACTATCTGTACAATGAATTGCTCAAGGTATTCGCTTGGATGAGAACTTTGTTACAACTGTCCTTCGAAGGGACACTAAAGACAGAAAGAATGTTTTGTAAATTATTGTTTATCAATTCTAAAATCACCATGCTAGCTGCAAGAAGCTTGGTAAGTGAATAAGAATGCAAAAAGAAAATGTGGCTGGCTATGTCACCATAAAATATCTGCACTAAACGCCTTGACATTGTAGGTTTTGATGGCGTCTACTAGGTTCCACGCGATTCCTAGAGTAAGAACGACGTGAATTGTCAGCTGAGGTGGCAAGTTTCAGGATATTTCATTAAACCAATGTCACTAAAATATAAAAAATTCACTTTGAAATCCATAATGCCATGCGTAGAGATTCAGGTGCAAAACTTTGACCTTGATATACTTCTATTTTAATAAGGCGATGACGGCAAAATTAACAACATTAGAGTTCTTTGAGCACAATTCGTCTGTCTACGCCCATTCATTGTTTCTCTTAAGTGTTCTTTCAATAAGAAACGCGCATTTTATATAGAAGAGTCCACACATCATACTCACTTCTTGTCAAGCTCCATGGAGATATTCAAGAGTGCACCAAATGGTGCAAATGCTCCCCGCAAAAGGTCTTCACTTACACCTGCACCATGCACATAAAGTGTGTTCTTTTGGCGCGGTTTCTCAGGTGCCGACTCCCGTGGCGACTCCAAGTGTTTTGGATCATCCTCATCCAAATTCCCTCCACTCACAAAACTTTCATACAACGACTTCATGGCTGGTCTCGATGATGACGATGACGACGATGTGCCCTGTGCCACGCAAAACCTGTGGTTTAGTTACACTGGGCTTATCGCACATTGAGTGGGCTTAAAGAGAGCCATTACTAGCTGGGGAGTTAGATTAAAGTACTTTATTTAAAGTACTTTAATTTATTAATTTATTTATTAGTGCAACCAACATCACCCAAGTGATCATTATTGTAGGGGGTGAGGGAAAAAAAACACAGTTGCAGTGCTTTTTATATGCAAAACAATAACACAACACAGACAATGGGAGAAAGCGCTTTGTCCTGCAGCCATTTTGCATGAAAAAATCCCGGTGGATTCACAACTAGCCCAACAACACATTGGGTGGAACACCTCAGTCATGATGACAATAACTGTAACACATACCAATGCATCCTGGAACATACGCTGGAATATGGCCATGCAATATCCCCAGAACATGGGGTGTTACTGGATCTAATGTTTCGACACGTAGACTTGTCTTCTTCAAGACTGCCTCTGGCCAGTAACACTGCTATTCCAATGTTAGTGTGCTGCATATGACTGAACAACACCACCAGCCAAGAACAGGCTATATGTTTGATAAGGCACTGACTACACTCGATCCTGTAGGCACAGCCCAATCAGGTTCACATTTGTCAGTTGATCAGAATGGGAAGGAAATAAGTGAAAATAATAAAAGCATTTAACGTAGCATTGCCTCAGTCCACATTTTCATTTTTGAATTTCCAGTCTCTTGTATAAACACTGCAAAGCCTAAAGGCAAATGATAGCAACCAAAAAGTGTGCAAGGAACATACAGTAGCCTCCAAGTCATCTTCTGTGGGATGGTTTGCAGCGTAAGGCTGATATCCGATGCCTCCTGGGCGGTCATTCAGGCTGCGCTTGCGTTCCGATGCCTTGGAGCGCTTGAATCCATGCCGCTCCTTGTTTTCAACTTTGATGGCACTGATGGCCTGCAACATAGCATCGACATTGTAGATATACCAGCACATTAAGTGTGCATAAGATGCTTAAGTAATAATGTAAAATTTTTCAAAAGTATTGAGCTGCTTGCAATAGTCTACTAATCTACTAGTCAAGAAAAAAAAATGAGGAGCAAAATATGTAGGGAAGGATGTTTCAGGAAGAACAATGTGAAACCCGAGTACGAGCAAGGCATGCACTGTTTTTGTTCTTCCCCACATGCACAGTTTCAGTTCCGTATCGTATTTAGGAAAAAGTGCTCGAGCTCCACTAATGTTGTCGACTATATGTTGGGCTAGCTGTTGCCTTCTTAATTCTTCGGGGACTGGTGGCAAGTAGTAGAACTGGCCCAAGTTATGTGGCACATACCAATTTTTATGATGAACTGTGACTACGTACATGACGCACCGTGACAACATTAGATGCTGCCATGCCGAGACTGTATTGTGCTTAGCCATGTCATGATTGCATCCCAAACTTCGTCGACCTTGTGTCGTCGTGATGCCGTGATTGAATGACATTACGTGAAGTTAGTTGCCGTGACTACATGACACACCGTGAGGTTGGGAGATGCCAGTAAGCCAGGCCCCTGAAGTGCTTGGCACCTAACGCAAATGTTATTTTCTAAACGCAGGACAATCAATATCAAACTATAGAAGCTATGTACTTTTATTATCACTGAAAAGCTCAATCCACATGTTCAATAAAGGCAAACCAAGTGGGTTTCAATATCAACATAAACAAGTGAGGACGACTCAGATGAACTGCACTTTTTTTTTTTGCTTTGTTAATTCCAATCGTTGAAAGCTAAACAAAAAGTAGCTTGAGATATCTATGGCAGCAAATTTTTCAGTGGTCGGAAGCCAATGAACACCGCATTCTAGTCCCTCTGTAAATTGGAAAGAGTTCTACAGATCGCTGTTTGGACTAGAGGTGCTGCCCATCTATACAGTTTCGTTTTTTCAGCTAAGATTTCCTGTCCATCAGGGAGATCCCAGTTTGTCACATTATACCACCCATGCCAGTTTTGCCCACTGAAGTACTTTTCTGTCACAGCACATACCAGACGGCAACGCAAAGAAGTGCCGCAAACAGCAACAGCTTAGTACCACTGTGTTGTTTATAATGTGACAAATAAATTATACATTGCCAACTAGGTCAAGTTAAGATACTTCAAAATAACACAAGCTTGGTGAAAACCAGCAGAGGTTGAAGCCAGGGAAGGATTAACTGTACTGCTTTAAGCGTATCCTAATAATCATGATATCAACACAACAAAAGTGAAGTGGAGGAATAGACAGCTTGCTGCTGGCAGGAACGGAACCAGCAACCTTCAGATCCAAAGGTCACCAGTTCTATCTCTGCCAGTGGCAAGTGGTATTTTCACCCACTTTATTTATTTATTTATTTATTTATTTAATATACCTCAAAGGCCACCCAACAGGGGGCTTTACATGAGGGTGTGGGCAAACAATATAGAGTTAATAAAACAATGATTCTATGGCATTTTTAAATCTATCCGTGTTGCTATGATGGATGACACTTGGGGGAAGATCGTTCCAGTCCCTGGCTGCTTGAGCGAAGAAGGAGTGATGGTGGGCTGTGGTACATGCAGGAGGTGGGTACACGGCCTTGTGGTGGCTTGTGCGGGCTGAAGTACGATGAGCTGATTGAATGGGACAGTTGTAATGAAACGTATGATACATTTTGTGATACAAGGATAGTCTGGAAACCTTACGGCGTAGGTCAAGGTTAGGTAGATCTGCTATTCTTTTAAGGGTGGTAACACTGGTATGATACGAGTAATCTGAGTAGATGAATCTAACTGCTCGGTTTTGAATTAGTTCGATGGACTTACTTAGGTTAATTTGGAATGGGTCCCAAATGGCGGATGCGTACTCTAGTTTTGGGCGAATTAGTGTTTTGTAGGCTAGTAATTTGACTGATGGAGGGGCAAGATGCAAGTTACGACGAAGGTAACCGAGAGCTCTGTTAGCATTGTTAACTATTTTACTTACGTGAAAAGACCAGTTTAGATTCTGTGAAATGTTAACACCGAGATATTTAATGGAACTTAGGGAAGAAACTGTGGAGCCATTAATATTATAGTTAGTGGTGGGTAAGTTTTGGTGTCTGTGAAATGAAATAAGTGCAGTTTTATTAGTATTTAATACCATGAGCCATTTGCGACACCACTCGTCCAGCTTTATCACAATACACTATCACAATACACGATTACTTGTACTTTTTTAAGTACAAGTAATCGTCCCTATACATTTTCTAGCTTTATCATCCACTGGTTATCATTAGAGGGCTAGTCAACAGGCTCAGACCTTTTTCTTTTTTTACACCCCCCAAAGGAGCTCAGCAATTCGTAAAGCAAGCTGTGACGACCATGTTTTCCAAACATAACAGCGCTGTGCAGAGCCTCCATTTAAAAAAAAAAACAGCTCCTGCGCTCCTTTCCTACGCCCGACCAATCTTCCTTTCAAGCGCAGTTAATGCAAAGTCACCGATCGGCGACTTGACGTAGCATGCACCTCGTCCATTGGTATAAACTAGTCACGACGATGGGCTACAACTTCTCTCACCTATAAGGAAGAAGGGTGGAAGTCCGCATGAAAATTTGAAGCCAACTGAAACAGATGTTCTAACCCCTGTAATTTCATTAATATAGCACATATTTGCAAAAATTTGCAGCAGCACATTCAATAAGCTAAACGTGCACACATTTCTCTATATAACAATTTTTGTACCTTGGGGTTGTTTGCTAGCCCATTAATGTTGTGTCAAACAAAAAAATGAGCCTTGCAAAATTTTCTTGATTCAATTAAAAGTAGCATTGAAAGATGTGCATTGTGTGAAACATCCGTGAGAACCTTCAGCAAGAAGATATGTTTTCTTTTAATTTTAACTATTTCTAATTATTTGCACTTTCTCTATTGTAAAGAACAATGTGTACATACCCCTGATTTCAGTAACTTCTTAGCGACCTCCTTTGCATCTGGTTTAGACTCCGACGCTGCACATGAGGAAAAATAATGTTTATGCACATGATCAGTGACAATGCTTCTTTACAACTCCACAAGTTCTATAAAGCTCACTGAAGGAGCACTGACACAAAAGTTTCATTTTGCTTTTTCTGTTGTAGTAGGTGGTCAACAACCCACTTATCTCAGCTGGAAGGCTCATTTGCTTTAGCGCAAGACAGTTAATTGTTTTGAGATGGTTTTATAGCGTTCAGTTGCAGTTTGGGTTTCTAAGAGAGCGTCAATTAGGCAGGACCCAGAGGTGTTTTCGTGTAAACATAGCCGGCTATGTGAGTGTACAAAAGCACGTGCACTTGAGCACCGCGTTGACAACACTTTTCTACGAAGGCTTCCTGGGTGCTTCTACAATACCCTCTGAAGCGTTGCAAATACGCCTCATCGCCCCACGATACACTGCTAAGGCGAGGACATGAGCCTTTGTACTCCCGTGCAAGTCTGTCTCCCTGTTCCATTGAAAATGTCTACGAGGAGACAACACTCTCAAGTATTGTGGCAGTTAACACTAACTCATGACACAGGGGGTGGTTGGTTGTTTACACAAAAACCAAAGGTGCATTTTGTGTGCAGAGGCACGACACACTTTGAAATTGACGTTAAATTCATTCCATGCTATATTATGCCTTGATATTTAGTAGATGATGCGTATGTGTCCACACAAATCCATGCCACAAGTTATCTCACCTTCAAAATTTTGAGTCAGTGCTCCTATAGGTTCTTATATGGAACAAGCCAGTACTTACTTTGGTCATGGCCTTGCATGAACATGCGGTGTCGAGAAAAAAAAAAGAGTAAGACAAATGAGACAACATTCTGGTCCCAAACGATCTAACAAGCGTACACAACAGCAAAGAGTGCGGTACAACCAGTTCAGTACTACGAAATATGATGGCTTACTTTGGGCATGTGAACTGGTGACGTTTGTAAAAAAGAAACTAAGTTAGGCACAAATATTGAAGAACACTTGCCATTTTAGAGTTGAAAAGCATTGCGTGCGGAAAAACCATGACTGTGCAAGGTTTTTATGTACAAAATTAAATTAGCTTCGCACTATTTTACGCCGACACTACTGAGAACACTGTTAAACAATAGCTCGCTTAAATTTCTTTACAAACATTGCATGCCTATTCTCAGGGCGGTGTTTCGGGAATCGTAGACGGGATTACGGCACTTAAAATAAAATGCACAGTAGACAAACCTTTTCGCAGCGTAGTTTGGACCGGTGGCGGTTCTTGCTTGGGCGTTTTGGTTTGCTGCAATGCCTTTTTCTGCAACCACAGAAACACAATCGCGCATCACGCTATATGCACGAGCGACTTTAGCAGCTAGGAACGCCTGTCCCTTTATTTCTTATTGCACGACAACTCAGAAGACAAGCGCAAGACGGTAGAGACTATTACCCGCAAATTCTTGGAAGTAGTAACATCCTATGCATGCACCATTGTTTTTCGCTAAAGTGGCTCCCTCGACTGCGATCAAGCATCGGCAGGAGTCGAGTGTCTCGACATCGATTGGCTCCCTTCAGAACCTTGCCGGCTTCCTGAACGAATAAGCCAACCACGATCGACAGTTCGCCGTTTAACATGCCAACGCTCGTATGACACACGATAAGCTACAAGTTTCAGTGTACCGAGCTTCACATCCATGTAAAGCAGGAACACAGGAACGCCGAAGTACTGCCACATAACACCTACATACTACGTACTGCGGCGTTACCGCAAAGCGACAACACACTCACTTTGCGTTTCAGCTTTTGGTACTTCTTCTGTAGCATGTCCTCTTCCTCGGTGTATTGAGACGGGAAATGAAGGTAAACCATCGCACTGCCGTGTCTTTGGGAAGCTACGCGATGCGCGGTATTCAAGCTAGCGGCATATGGGAGAAAACAGCAAAATTAATCGTAAACTTTTCAACCCCGAAGTATCTCCACAGAACTTGCTGAACTCCGAAACTAGTGTGTGTTCTGATGGCGATGACGATGTTGCTTGCGTTGCTGCTGATATTGATCAGGCCAAAGAGTTTCTTACAAAAAATAACTAGAAAAATAAGGACGGGTTCTGTGTTAATTTACGCGCTTACATTTTCAAAGAAGTTGTGTTTAAGTCCAAGCAGCATGCACTTGTGGTTTGATTGACATTTAAAGAATTTATTCTAAAGACTTCAGTGCATCCTTCCTTCGACCTTCGCAACCTTTTGCTATCACATTCTTCGTACGCACATGTAGTCCACCTTTTCCAATGATTGGCAATTGGTATAGGCCAGAAAAGAAGAAGAAGGTGTTTAATGAGAAGAAGGAGGAGAGGTCGGTCTTGAAAGCGGGTTTCTGGCCTGCTACTCCACACGAGGGAAAGGGAAAGAAGTAGGAGGGTATGATGAGAGGTGATTGTGGTACACCACAATGAGTCACTGCACACAATGTTTCGTTCGGTGTAGTACACGCACTAAAGTCCCTACATAAGCAGATTCTCTAAAGACGGGAATCTAATCCTGTCTTGCTTAGAAATGCGAGCAGGACCTTTAAACTGCGTTGGGCGGCACACTTTAATTCCCAAACACCCAAAATTTAAGTCCAACCGCATAAAAAAGTAACGAGGCCAGATCACTGGTGAAGTAAATTAAACTAGACCTGCAAAGCTGATTCAGATTTTTATGCTTTCTGTATTTTAGCAGTAATGGAGACAGTAGAAATACGATATGAAACACAAGCTAGAATGAAGTTTCAAGTTGCCTTTAAAATGGAGTTGAATGCCTACTCTGCTTGAAAACAAAATGAGAGGCATGAAGAATAATTCCTAGCAAGGAATGGTTCCTAAAGTTCTACACAGTGTACAGGATTCAGCGAGGGTCCAGAGTCGAGATCCCCATTGCGACAAGTCAATCCATTTTGTGTGTTTGGTACAACTGAGGTATGCAAACAAGTATTTTCTATTCTTTACTACAGTATATGACTGGGAAAGGCCACTAAGTCTTGGATCAAACAGTAATACAGGTTGAAATGGTCAGGTTGAAATGTCCTTCTCCACCATGTTGTACACTATCTGCAAATAACCACCCCATGTTCTATGGTGATGTGCCTTCCATTTCCCTAGATTTATTGTTTTTGATTCTACGAACTCATCTCTTAACACGTGCATTTATTTCTACAATGTTCATTGTTTACTAGTGTTGTATTTATTTGCAAAGCATTATTTTTGTGCAATAAAAGAACAGTTATTACCATGGGTTGGCTCACTCAAATTCATACACACCCACATCAAGCTACAAGTCTGAGTGAATCCAGGTGACTAATAGTTTATTAAGCTTGAGTCAGATAAGCGAGTAAGGGTCGAGGGGAATTATTTGAGAGTATGAGCGAGCTCCACAGGTCTACTGCCGACCTGTGGTCACTTCACTATTACCATCAGCCTTGTATTGGCTTACACTTCATAGTCAAATCTAGTCACACATACCTCAATGCACATTCTTGATCAGAGGCACGAGTTGGGGGCGGTGGGTGCCATGGCCTTCTCACACAAACTGTTTCACAGATTGTTCTTGAACGAAACATGTTGCGAGAGTCTCGCATTTCATAAAATGTCCTTACAAGATAACAATTACTGATAGCCTCCATTTGAACAGTACAATATGAAAAGGCGCATAGTAGAGCAGCAATTTAGAGTTACTGGCGTTAAAGAGCATTTACACTACAATAGGAAAAGCTAATTGAGTAATTATGTTGGCTAGTTTGAGTCCATGTGAGCCGGAGTGAGCTTGGTTGAGGAAAATTTCGGGGAGTCCGTGTACGAGAGAGTTCTCCAAGCGAAATATTTCTTGAGCAAGTACCAATGTTTTGCCTATGCTTATTACGCTCAACTGCTACATGGTGTCTGTCCTATTGTTGCCAAATTAATGAATCCTACTTGTGAGGATATAATGCATTATTTCGTTTGCACAATGTGCCAAAGTTTTTTATTGTCTTTTTCCGAAATTCCATTAGTTTTCACTTTGGATTATCTATTACATATGATGAACTCCACCCCTTATACCTTAAGGAAAAGAAAGTGTGTTGAACTGAACTGCAATAAGGCTATGTCCACGCGAGTATTTGACCCTGATTTGCCATCATATTCCCACTTTGTACAGCAGTTTTGTTCTTGCAGATTTCACATAGGTGTCGACCTAATGTGCATGGAAATTAAAAAAAAGATCTACGAACAGTCTGAAATTTAGGTACCTTGCAGTATAAAACAGTCCGCAGTCTTCAGTTCAACATATTCCGACTTGAGGCTTGGAGTCAACAATTGTGGACCAGTCTGTATTTGCATACAAAATCAACCTCTCACCTGCACTGCGTAGTTCTGGTCATGCCAAATGTGCAAGATGGGTTTAAAATAAATTGAAAAAAAAAAATTAAGGGAATATAGAATGTGGAGGTAAGATCAATCTTTCTGGCATTCCTGATGGTATTAATCAGGTTTTCTCCCCCCCCCCCCCCACCAGACTGTGATAGTCTTAGACAGTGGCGGATCTAGAGGTGTGGTGGTAGGGGTGATCGCCCCTACTTTCCCAGACGCCTATGTTGGCACCCCACCCTTTTTCTTCAGTGCTTGTCGTCAAACCCCTATCACCAATTACAACAAATAGTAGGACCATTCCGAGCATACATTATAAATATTTATGCTATGACGAGGTTTTGTGCTACTAAAAACAAGAGAGTCGGGATCCCGCCCCCCTGCACCAGTGTTACTTAAAGTGACAGACCCCCTGAAATGAGTCGCTGGAGCTGCCCCTGATAGTGAAAATAGTGATCACATAAACATGCAGTCATATATAGACTCATCAGATAGGCAGTCATTAGACCCCTTCAGACCATACCTGCAAAACAAATGCCAACAGATCTACGCAGTCAACATATGCCCTCCAATACCCAAGCAGATGTCCTTTGAAGACTTTGAAGTCTGTGCAGAAAATGCACAAGGAACACACAACCAGAGACAATCGCATTGAAAAACAATATTTTACTATCAAAAAAACAATATAGTGTTAAACGTACACAGGACAAAAAAAAAAAGAAAGGCGTAAGCAGAGCAACCAGACAACAAAAACTGCAACAAAAGAGTGTGTACAAGAGTTTGTGTGAAGTTTCACATTCTGCATCTCCTTTCCGTCCTCCTTATCATCTCTTTCACATCCCTCATCAGCAAATTGCTGCAGAAGAGCTCCCAACATTTCGCAAGGTGTTGTCCCCGTACGACACCAACCTAGAACTTTTGAGCAACAGCTCTTCGTGAGCTGCAGAAGCCCTGTGGTCTCTGCAACTGTCATCGTCTCTGTGAAAGATTTCCCACATAAAGCAGGGCAACATAAACACAAACAGTAGCAAAAAAGGCATTTCCTCTTAAACATCCCATTTCCAGCACAATTCCTCCCGAAACATTCCCAGAAAAATGCTCGCACCAAGTGGGGAAAAAAAAACAACAGAAAAGCTGCAGACAATGGCACCATCAACTACAAAATAATGTGAAGCACCAAAGCAGCTATCTTTATAAGGATAGCAAATGCAAAATGATAGTACAGAAAAGCTAAAAAGCAGTGTATACAAAGTTTTGCATTAACGTTAAACGCAGAGGCTGTGCGTATTTACCACTTCATATGGAATTACAGTCCATTATATGCTAAGGATTATATGGCAGACCTTTCTCAATACAGCTACAGAAGACAGCATTTGTACATGTACTGATCTCACATTAACTCAACATGGTATTGCAGCTCAAATATTTTGCCCTAGTTGCGGCAAGTGACTCATGGCGTCTTAGTTTGTAAAGACCATGAGTGGTGTTTTGAGATTTTAACAATGAAACAGTTGACGCGTGGCTCCAGTAGACTAATTAAGCGCTCAAAACGTCAAACTTATTCAACCGTAACAAAAAGCTTGAAAAACATTGCCCTGTTGGCCTAAAAGGCATGTCAGCCTTTTAACTTGCCATAATATCAATATTATGTGATACATTCTAGACAGTTTAGCTGCACCTACCTTGTCGCACAGTTCTTTAGTTTATGTTACCCACATTAACCCACCGCATGTTTTGAATTTTCTTAGCATTTCTGTGCAATGTAAGACCATTTAACTTAAGGCAAATGTAGTTTTCAATCAGACCCATTTTGTAGTGAAATTACATGCAGGCCTTGTCCCTTCCACATGAAACATTCATTGTACAGACAGGGCAGCATCACATTGCTTATTTAGATTAGTTTGGAAGGAAATTTCTGTAGGATACATTTACATCATATTCAAGTCTGCTATAGATACAACAGTAACTTTGCTACTGGCTAATTGCATTGCTGCTTTTGTAAATGAATATAGAAGCAATATTGTAACGAGCAACAAGACTGTATGCTTTCCATTGATGTATTTGCACAAAGTCAGAACACACTTGCATAGCAGCAATATTATTATAGTTGATCTTCAGTAATTTAGATTTACAATGCTAGTATGTCTAGTATGTCTCCTGTGCTGTAAAGTTTCAACACCACAAAAGAGTTGATAATAATTACAATTGCCATTCAAAATATAAGCACAGGAGGTTTTAGACAGGAAGCATTCAGTGATGACACACTGCAAATTAAAGAGAGACCGAACCAATGCACTAAATTCACAATGCCAGAAACTTCATTGGAACAAAAAACGCAAGAAACACCAAATTTCTGCAAGATTTTCTCTTAGAGATTTCACAGTATGCCATTCCATTTGACAGTATTTCAATACCATGAATGTGTCTTAGGTGACAGGAATGGTAAGCAAATACAATTCGATACAACTGCAATAAGGACATATCAGAAAATCACTGAAGCACAACACACTTCACATTCCAACACAAGGCAGATCTCGCATAATGGCAGCAATAAGGGCCCCTTGTGTAATCTTTAAAGTAGGTCTGTGTTAATAAGTAAAAGAAAAGAAGTTTAAAAGTGATCCTAGGTGGCCCTGATTGCAATGTGAACATGAGAATCTCCAAACAAAGTGCCTACTCATTAGGACATCTAATCAATAAAGGGTAATGGAAGCATTAAAGAAATCAATTTTTCTGCAAAACACAAGTTCAACTAAGAGAAACATAATTTTTAATGCATGAAATGACTACAGATATTGCATACTGATAACCAAAACCTTTAAGAAGTAAGTGTAGAAGATGCAATGACAGCGACCGGTAAGAGGATGTTACACTGCAAGATTAACAAATAAATGTTACTGGCTTATTAAGTGTCAAATAATAGTTTGCTGGTGCCTTTGTTTCGTTTTGCTACTTCACCTAAACACAATTGAAGCTTGCAGCAGTACTAGCACAGCTACACCTTCTAAGTATTCCAGGATAAAACCACGGCAGAAGTGTCAGAGACAAAGACCTTAGAGCAGCACTGTTTTTCTGTCACGCGGGAATGTTGTGTTGTGCTTATTTCGAGTGCATATATAAAGATAACATAGACTAACATTTCAATGAAGCGAGATAGCAAAGCATGATTATACATTGCTGCTAACGAGCGTGGCATCAGCCACTATAGATCAATCGGGACCTTTACAATACAAAGCTCTGGCCACTGTAGTGAAGTTGTATACAAAAGCAATTGAAAATGACAAATTGCTAAGCAGATGTGGCAATATCTGTCAACTTGTACATTGAAAAATGTTTTGCCAGAATGTGAAGTCACGTAACCGTGCCATAACTGGCATGGACAAAAATAAATGCAGCAGTGAAAAAAAAAACTAAAAGCTTGGGCATACTTCCCTTTACAGCTCTTCGAAACACTAAGACCAAAACGCGCTTGGTTGTCCAAACTAGAAGCAGAAAAGCTCTATCAATTTTTGACAGTCTTATGCACTACTGGTAAAACTTTCAGAAGAGCTACATGCATGTTAGGCAGGGGTTAAATGGCCAGCCTCAAAAGCAGCAAGTAGCCCTTGACCAGTCTTTTTTTTTTCATTTTTTTAGTTGCCTTACGCCACGTTCTCGCAACAATCCAATCCGTAGCGAACAACTTTGAAAGATGAAAGCCTTCAGATGCAGGGCATAAACTTAGTGAATAAAACAAACTCAAAGCTAAGAAGGTCAGCCAGATAAACTGGCTTACCTTCATTTAAGCATAATTTTTCAAGACTTGGGGATGAAATACTAAGAATTTCGAGCACTAAGTAGCAGAGGGAACAGCCATTATTGTCAGGGCACTACATTTGTAAAATTGTATACCAAGGCACTAGCGTACTACAGGCAGGCCGGCCATTACGTTAGAATGTCACGAAATGTGCGTTTCTGTCCTCCCGTTGGTAATATTTGAACCAATGGGAACTTGCCTGCTCTCTTCAAACCTGTAATAATGCGGACTGAAATGATGCGTTTCTACTGTGTTCTGCACATCACGCAAAACTAGAGAACAGATCATGAAAATCATTTCGTCAGTCAGACTTACAAGGTGTTCAAACTTGACACACGTTCATAAATGCCTAGTGTCAACAAGGAGCTACACAATCAAGTGGACGTGGTTCCAATTCTTCAGGAGGTTGACTGCAGCAGATGCACAATTATCATACTGCCAAAGCCCACCTTTATTTGTGCCGATCATATCTTGTGGGACGGCCTACGAACTTGCCGACAGGCTACAATAACTTGTTCTCCTTTGGCCTGGTTGGCAAGTGTCCACTTACTATGTATCTGCATCTGTCAGGTACCGACATTCAACAATGCTCGGCTACATTTTGGCAGCTGTGACAGTATGACCCCCATGTGCAGACAATTTGTTGATCTGTGCTCAATAAAGTCATGGCAACATTTCCTGACTGAGGCCCCTTGATGGGAACGTAAGAAAGAAGTGATACTGGGCGTGGAACCTTTTCACACGGAAGCCAACGCTTATCATTCACTCAAGCCACTTCCCCGAGGAATCAAGTTGCCGATAGAAACTGTTCCAAATTAGATGATAGATGTTAATTACACACATTTAATACCTCAGGTGATTTTGATATAAATGTGACGTTTTCAAGTTTCGCCTCAGAAGTTTGAGAATGGTTAAGCAGTAGTACCGTACAAGTCACCATCATGTTTCTTAACCAACTGATTATGAAGATCAAGTCCAAGGACACTGACTTTTCAACGACTAGCAAGTGCACAGATGAAAGTTTACTGCAATGAAATAAGACGCTACACTGGTAGTAAAGTCTAAAAACTTCAAACCAGGATTTGATTGCACCAAGTAATATTCAAAAAGCTGCAAGAGTTACTGCTAGCAATGAACGCTGATAAGGAGACATTTGATAAGTGGTAAAGTGATTAGCTCACTACCTTCTAAAGCAAAACAGTAATGCCATGTGACTAAGATTGCGCAAACGCACCTAGTATGCAGTAAAGAAGCTTGTAGTAGTTGATAACTGGAATATCCATGTGAATTACTGTTGAACAAAGAATACCCATTCAGTGCCATCAGCTACGAATTGGGGCATAAAAAAAAAACGGGTGCCGAGACGTTTAAAGAAAAATGCCAATACTGAGACTGCCACAGTCAGGCAACACCGGTATCTTGTTATCTGCACTCGTATCTCTCAAGTCTTGAGTGTGGCAGATGCAGCAAAAACTTACACTAAGTCTAAGAAAAATGAAATAAATGAGGATGTTTGCGCTTCCCACGTCAGAAATCCAGAGAAAAAAGTAAAACGAGGGGTTAGCCTCGTTTCGGGGGGAGTGGACGCAAACGTGAAGACAGTCTGACCGTGTGCCGGTTGGGCTACATCCCAAACAAGTGCGGTGCTCGATTCCTAAAATGTTCTATGTATGACCACTAGGATTATCAGCTGCAAAGTGATCTCGCCATCTTGAACAGGCACTAAGAAAGTCTATAAGCGTTTATGTACAAGAGGAGAGAAGTGTCATCGATCCACGTGTATCTCGCTGTCTCGTAATAGGCACTAAATGACAGAGAGAATCTAGCCTATTTACAAGAGGGACGAACGTATTGAGTCATACTTCTTCCCTCTCCTTTTTGCTGACCTGTTCCAATATTCCCTTTCTCCCTTTTACCCTCAATCTTATTACGGTTGTAAACTCCATTCGCATTCGTTTTTCAACACATGCGGTTTTCCCCTTTTCGGTCAGGTGCGTTCCAAGGCTTCTTTCCTCCCTTCCTTGTTCCGGCTGTGCCCACTGGAATGCTCGGCTGTTCCCTTGCTCTACTGTATGACGACATGGCATTTAGTACCTAGAAAAAGAAGGAGAAACAAGCATTACAGAACACTATATCAATCATCAAAGCTTAACGAAACTCGGCAGCGACAGGGAGACTATAAGATACAAACTACCATGATTATGCAATGCCAACTTGTTCAATGCAGTACTTTATTCTACAGCCTTTTAGTTCTTAAGAAACAAAAGCAAGAATAATTTTACACAAAAATGCCCCACTACTACACTACCTAAATAAGGGTGAAGGTAGTGCTTCAATTAATTGTTTCTGGAAAAAAACCTACACAGCACCAAAACAGTCGTTGAGACACGAAAGAAGAAAAAAAAAAAGGTAAGGAAAAATTTTTACAACTACTCTGTAACTTTGATTATATGTCCCCCGTTACACGACGACCCACTTTTTACTATGGATCAGTTTGGTCCCGGCAAAATCCCCATAAGTATTATGTATTAAAAACCTTGTTGTATTAAACAATTATTATTATTAAACAATTATTAAACCATTATTAAACCCAACAATAATACAACCTTGTTGTATTAAAAACCTTCATAAGATGCAGTTTATGCCAACCCCGCATCTTGCAACAACTTTCAGATTTTGAAGTGAAAAACCATCATTAGTCGCATCGAACATTGACAGAATCCTCGCAAGTACAAATTATGGTCCTGCGTTCCCCTCGATTGATTATTCGAAAAGTAAAGATTGAGACAGGCTGTCTTCTTAGAATGGGAAATTTATTCTCCTGACAGTTCATGCACTTCTGCATATGCCTCAATTGCGTGTGTACTCGGGGCTGTTACCTCGAGATGCTCTGTTCAGAGTAGCTTCAGCTGGTTGAAGAGCTCAATTCTGAGATCCTGATATTTTCATGTTTTCAGTCTGTGTTGGAAACAGTTTACTGGTCGTTGTACAGCTGATCTGCTGCCTTGGTTTGTGGCAGCCACAGTCACAAGCTTGAGCACGGCAAAAGGGCGTGATGCAGCTATTTTCACCGTGCAAAATAAGTTTCACTCAGCGTCAATGTTCATTACAACAGCGGGACATCACTGGTAGCACTCCATTTGTCAACAAATTGCAATGCCTCTGTCGAACACGAAGGCATTTATACGCAACCATGTGAAACCGTGTTTCTTTGCCATTAAGCGATGGCGATGACACTGTGTCTAACTCCTTAACGGGGGGCTGTTGGCAAGCCAGTTTAAGTTTCATTTTCGTGCGAAGGCTATTTTCAAATTCAACTTATCAGGAGAAAAATGCACGTTGGATTCCATTTTTTAAAATTGTAGATAAAAATTCTCTCGCACCTGCCTCAGCCAAGTAATGCTGCCATTGGCTAGAATAGTTTAATCCACGTTCCTTGGAAAAGCACACGGTCGTGTTGTGGGCTCATTCAGGCGATTTGTGCCTGTTTTTTTAGCAAGGCTGCGTGCCGTTGCCTGTATTTTTACTTTTTCAATTATTATACGACGGTTTTGTGTGGTCCTATGAAAGTCGTGTAATCGGGGTTCCACTGTATGACCGTCAAGATAAATTACCAGAGGACACACTGGCAGGCTTCAGTATTTTACACCAATCACACAATTTCACATGTAACGACAGATACGCAACCAATAGTAATATCTGGCATTATAGTATGTCCCTAAACCACGGTACGATTATGAGAGACGCCATAGAGGAAGGCTACGAAGATTTCAACTGTCCGGTGTTCTTAAATGTGCACTTACATCACACAGTACATGGGTCTTTAGCATTACGCTTCGACTGAAATGCGAACACAGTGATCAAGATCGAACCTGTGACCTCCAGGTCAGCTCTTGAGCACAGTCGCCACTATACCACCAAGGTCGACTGTTACACAACCAATACTTTGCAACAAAGAAACACAAATATATGCAGAAGTGCACCTGTAGTAGTTGGGCTTGAAAGGCCCAGCCTTGTTGAGGCCCATGTATTTAGCCTGGTCGTCAGTCAGCTCAGTCAGATGGGCATCAAATGTCGGGAGGTGGAGGCTGGCAACGTACTCGTCTGCAATTGGATTTTATTAACATGTAAATGTGCTCGTTGAGTGAGGTTAACACACAGCAGTCATGCTACATTACTATTCGAGTACCAACACTAGGCTTGAAAAGGGTGATTGGACATTTTGCTGAACCATACTAAACTAAGAATAAAATCCTCTAATGGTCAGCTAGGTTAAAATAAACAAATTCCATCATGGTAAAATCGCACCTAATTAACTGAAGCTCACGACTGATGTAAGCACGAGTGACACATATAGTAGTAAAAATGTGATAATGCTCCTCCAGAGTATCGTAACAAATGAAGTAAAATAGGAAGAAGTTTATGACTACAGATGAACAGTAATGATCATTTTTCAGAAATCTTAACACAGGAAACCTGCCGAAGTTGGCAAATAACACATAACACTCAAATAATGAATGACTAAAAAAAATAAAATGCATAATGATGTTGACTTTTATACGTACTGACTGATTTCCGTTTTTTTTTTCTTACTTCTTTTAATGCTGTCCGTGTCTCGAGGTTTGTTTAGTATTTCTTAACTCTGAAAGTGATTTTATTAGTGTGCAGTATTCTCCCAGCAATTTATCGGCACTTTCAAAATATGTGAACTAACTTGAATTGAAAAAGCAATACTAAAACAGTAGCTGGAGTATTGTTCCGTAACGCCTCGACCAGGTGAAGTCTTTTTTCCTGTACAGCTGCTTAGTGTAGCCTCGTAAGATGGAAGTCAACACATGACTATGAATCACAGTACAAAGTGAAGGGGACACACCCATCTTCTTGGGCAGCAGGTAGACGTCGCTCTTGTAGCGCCCATGAGGGGCGTTGTAGAGCTCGATCAGAGCCAAAGCTTGAGTTGCCGCAGTAATGGACACCACAAAAGAGGGGATACTGGAGCAGCTCAAGTTCACCAAACGTCCCTGCACAGCGAGTTACGTGAAAGCACTTGGCACAGCTGTTTAACACAAAGACATGACACCGCTCTGAACAGGGTTATCGATGACCTCAGCTGAACAGAAGTTTATATCGTACGTAATCATGACTGTTTGGCTCATAAAACGCTCACAGCTTAGAACATAAAGAGCAGGGCTCGTCAAAGGTGCTTTTCTATTCAATACATTGATATGCGTACTCAGTTACAGAAGCCTGTCAGTGAACAAATATCTCAAATGCAATTTCTGCTTAAGTAAATGAAACTGCATCTAATATGACTGGTTCTATACGTGAATTCTGCACCCCTGCTCATCTATCAGTAAACTGTAATCCTGCCTAAATGAAACACATTTCCTTGGTCTTTTCAGGTTACTTTTAATGGAAGTCTACTACACAAAACAAAAAGGTGATTATTTTTCACTATGCAATTGCTAAGTAATTTCTGCATTTTAAACAATTTACAAATCAATTTCATATGATGAAAAATGAAATAATTATGGTTCTGTTCAACGAATAGAAAAAATGAGCCCTGTATCTCCCAGAGGTTCTCATATAAACAAATCCAAAAACAAAACACTCCATACATCACTGCCATCTGCATAAAAAAATGCAATTTGTGAGTCGTGTCATTGTAACAGGACATCACCTCACATCCAACTCTGTATAAGACGAGAAGAACATGCTATGCAACTTGGACACAAAGTTCTACCAACCTGGCGCCATTCTCAACATTTCCAAATGCTTTTGTTCACCCAGAGTACTGCAGCTCACCTCAGCGAGTAGCACAATGCGCTTTCCATCTGGCCAGATGATGTGGTCCACCTGAGAACGAACTTTCTCCCAAGTCAGCTCGGGAGTCCGCAGGCTTTGCTACAGGCATAAAGAACATTTGTTTAAAACCTGTGGGCACGGGAAGAATGCCTCTGGCAGAGAGAGTAAGAAAAAAAAATGAAAGAAAGAGGAAAGCGATGCAATAACTGAGATACATATAACCGAGCACGCACCACATCGATTTCAGTGTTGGAGTGTCCCATGTTGCAGACGATGCAGCTATTCTTCATCTTGTCCATGTGTTCTCTCTGGACAACATTCTTGTTACCAGTGGCAGTGATGAGAATGTCTATGTTGCGAACAACTTCGTTGATCTTCACCACACGGAAGCCGTCCATGCTGCAAACCACAGAAGAAAAACGTTTTCGCTTTCCTGTAAGCAACATTGCTTTGCACTAAGTGACACTAATGTGTACTGCACCCTTTCACTAAACTCGAAAATGTAAAGATGCCATTGTTAATTTTACAACAGATTATAATGATAGATGTACACTGCAAAGAGTATACATACAATTCAAATGAAAAAAAGTGGTGAGTATGCTTGTCAACATTTGAGCAATGCAATGGTATATAAATGTTCAAAAATATGCAATAATAGTAGTACAGTAGCTTCAAGTCATATTTTCATCACGGGCTTGAACTCGTGCAGATGAGCAACCCGTCCAACATATTCTTGAATAGCAAAATGAAAAGCAGGTCACGGTGAATTGGTGATAGACCATCACATGTTGAATTGTTGTCTTGGGCATAACATTTACTACCTTGCAATTTCCATAATTCTTGCTCTTGTTTAAAGCGCCAAAAACGAATTTTGAGCGACTGCTTATCAAACATTTAAAAAAATAGGTTCAAACAGCATTTTTACATGTGGACAAAGAAGAACATGCATGCACACAGTGCTGGTGTTAAGCTAAACATGTTCATTTTCATATGCGCATGATGTATGTATGCACACACACACACCGTAGAAAGCCACGTATATTATGAGCCTTTTTTTCTCAATATATCGCATTTACTTGCGTAACCCTCGCACCGGCATAGTTCTTGCACTTTCCACATTGCCCAATAAAAATGCGATTTTTTTTTCTGCAAGTAATTATCGAACCCTTTGAAAATTGCAGCCGAGTGCTGTCTGCTCCTTCCAACCACTGATGATGATAGCACACGACCGCCTGGCACCATCTCTTAAGGATTATGCGTACTGCCAACAGGCGGATCCCCAATTCAAGCAAAGCCAAGCCGAAGTGGCAAGTGTGTGCTGCGGCGTATTAGTGTACATTGTGTACGTTTTGCGGTTATTTTATGGGGCTATATGGAAGCTACACGGCTGCTTTCAAGTTGAAAGTGAGTAGGGAGTTTTAAAAGCGGTTAGTTAGCGAAGACGTTGCGAGAACTGCCTTGCTTCAGCATGCAGCAATTTGTGGGAACACGGGTACAAATTCTGATCGCTATTGCACGTCTTATTTGCATACAAAGATGAACGCAAACAAGTGTTTCAATAGCACTAGCCGGAGCGTTCATCAGCTTGAAAAAACAACAAGGGGCACAGTTTACGGCTCATTTTTCTTTCATCAGCATTCAGAGTTTCTGTGTGCAGCAAGGGACGCACTAATACGCCGGCATTGCAATTATCAGCCAATACACGCCTCACATTGATACGACTTACGTACAAACATACGTAAACACACGTGGACTGTGCGCTGAGCCTCTAACATGGTGATATGCACACGATGGCCAACAGATGGCAGCAGTTTTGCATAAGGTCTATTATGTTGCGCCGTTTGCAAAACTTCCAGTTGGGGCAAATCGGTCATGCCGATCAAACGCCAGTTTACCTGGACATGCCATCGCCTCTTACTGTTCATGAGAAGGGCTCAAAAGAATAGTGTTCATACCATCAGCAATGAGAAAACGCATGTCACAGTCACGTTATCGTGCACGTCGGATGGCCACAAGTTCCCACCCTACATCATCATTAAGCGCAAGACAATGCCAAAAAATGAGGAGCTGCTGAAGAATGTCATCGTGAGATGTCACGATAAAGGCTAGATGAACGAGGATCTTGTCCTTGACTGGACTGGATAAAGTCTGTCTGGTGTAGATGGCTTGGTGCTCTGCTGTCTTTTCCATTCATCCTGGTGCTGGATGGGTTTAACTTGCCATTTACCCATACAACAGAGAAGATCTTGCGCGGCTGCGGCACGGAACTTGCCGTGAACCTGGGTGGGATGACGTCTTGACTGCAACCTCTCGATGTTTGGGTGAATAAACCATTAAAGGATGTGGTTAGGCGTTGTTATGCGGAGTGGATGCACACAGGTGAGCCTGCAGCCCCGCCGGCCGGCCAGCTGAAAGGGGCATCACCAGCCACGCCATGCAAACAAATTGTGGATGCTTCAGCATTCCAGAGGACCTTGAGTGCCATTTTTTCAAGATGTGCAACATCTTTAACGCCCTAAATGACACAGAAGATGAGTACCTGTGTAACGATTTGTTGAACAGAAACGTTCGAGGGAAGTGCAGTTGAAGACGACAGCAACTGAAACATTGGGTCAGTGTTCTATAAATGTTATCTCAGACCTTTTATGTTTCGTAGTATAATTGGGTAAATAAATATATATTTTTAATCCTGCATTCCCTAAAAATTTGACCTCGTATTATATTCGGGTTCGTATCATACGTGGGTATTCATGGTAAACATACACATTTAGATTTGGGTCTTTGTTCGGCATCTTTATAGATCACCATTATTATTTTCTTTTTATCTGCTCACATAGGTCACGTACACATAAAATATTTTCCATTGAATGTCATTGCTGTGTATGTGTGTATGTTGTTTTCTGCCTGTGTTGAGTTGTACTGCAAAAACATGTGATATCTTCAACCAAGCAGACTGCCAACGCACTTTGGCTGCTAAATGCTTACGTTCTAAACAAGTGTCTTTCAATAACAAAAGAAGAGTGCACTGACCAGGCTTGCAAGGCACAGATGGGATCGATCTCGGTGACGTACACGATGGCGCCCATGCCCTTCAGGGCAGAGCAGCAGCCCTTGCCAACTTCACCATAACCACACACCAGCACCTGCTTGCCGCCAAACATAACATCGGTGGACCGCTTGAGCCTGCGAATGTAGGTGCCATCCATGTGAAAAATGCAACACATGGTTGTCAGCTCAAAGAAGGAGCTGGACTGGGCTGCTTGCTGTATACTGAACTTTTGAAACAGCTTTAAAGTCACAAATGCTGTTTTACATGAAGGAACACAGAATTTTTTTCAATAACTGCAAGTAAAATAATTCTCATACATCTGTACCGGTTAGGTGACTCGAGTGAGTTTAGCTTAGCTTTTAGATCACCAATATTTTCTTTTCAAGACACGATCTCAAGGAATCGTCTAATGCAGCCAGCAAGAAATTTTGACAGACCTTAATATGCTGCAACACTTTCTTTAAAACAAGGTTCCGGGGCTTGTACCCAAAGTATCGTCCATAATAGTCTGTGGTATTCATAGGCGGAGAATATGGAGAGGAGGGGGGGGGGGGGGGGCGCTGGCGGGCTCAAGCCTCTTTTGAGCTGCCTCATTGGGACGCTGAGCCCTCTCCTGGTGCGGGCTAGGGATATCTTTTTTAGAACTTGGCTTAGGCTGCCATCCACCACCAACAAAGTGTTGGTCATCATGTCTTGCAGCTATTCTACAGAGGACTGTTTATGTCCATTCCTTTGCTTTCAAGCTTCTAAAATTTTGAACATGGGGCAGTTACAAGTAGGAGACTGGCACCGTGGTGCACAGAGAATGAAGTCACAGGATGATGAAAAATGCAGCCCTTGTGCAAAATAAGTACGCAATCTATGCGTACGCTTGATAGGTCTCTCTCTCTATGTGTGTGCGTGCGCGTGCGTGCGTGTGTGTGTGTGTGTGGAGAGAGAGAGAGAAATGTGAAAGAGCAAGTCAGGAGCACTGCACACTCTGGGAATATGAAAACTCTCCACCTATGGTAATGTTATACTATTCATATAAAAATGAAGAAAATGTGCTTACGCATCAAGGATGGATTCTCTGCAGCTGTATAGGTTGTCGAACTTTGTCTGCATAAAAAAACAGGGCAACAAAGAATTGAATAAATACGTAGCACAATGACCTGAACTGCCAGAATACAGGTTTCAAATTAATAGGAAGACTCCTATTGCAGAGCATTTTGCAAATGTGATGAAATCATGTTGATATGCTGAAATATTAATAAAGCAAATACAGATGAAGAAAAGTCATGGTGTGTATAAAAAGCAGGCCTTTTTTATAGTATAATACATTTTTTTTGAAAATTTAAGAGTAAAAAATAAAGCACAATATCTACGAATCGAATGTGCATCACATATAATATTACACATTGCAGTGAAGTACATTCATTAATTCTACCAGCATGATAAGTGGGCAAACGTTTTTCTTGCATTAGGAGCTTATGCAAATTTATCACAATGTGGGCACATGTTAGATTTTAAGTAGAGTATGTTCAAATTTGCTTTATATATAGCAGCACACATACGAATAGCATCCACACTAGAAGCATTAGTTGATAGTTTACAATACCGTGATTACAATCAGCCTGGAAAAATTATTTCTTAGAAAAGAAATGATAAAAAAATGATGTGTTAAATTGAAAATACATTTTTACAGTCACTAGATTTGAAATTCTTTTATATCCAACAAACCACATTAAAATTATCTGAAATAGGTGTATCAATTAAAATAATTACTTTTTAAACTACGTAATTACACGTGAGCTCCTCCGCTAAATGTAACTTTTCCCTATAATGTTATACTTGTCATACGAAATGCCGATCTTTAGCACGAGAAACAGAATGCATATCCCTATGCCATTTGTAATATGCTGTAATAGCATTTTATGATGATGATGACGATGATGTGTGGCGCTTTATAGCGCAAGGGCCAATTGATGGCCAAAGAGCACCATTTCAATGAGTATAGTGATGTGGACAATGATATGTTGCGTGGCTGTATAGGGGCCTTAAAATTCCTCTCGATAATGCGGGTAAAAACATAAGTATTAAAAACATGACAGTGACGTGATATGCATAGTAGAAAGGGTGACAAAGGTTTTGATAATAGAAACATGTAAAAATATTTGGCACTAGCACAAGTGCCTCATCAGCGCCCTTGTGTCCAAGGGTTGCGAGGCAAGTGCTTTCTTGTGTAGCCACCGCAGCAAAAACCTCTCTGCAGAGGTCGTGCTACGGAATGCCCGGGTATATGATATGAAAACTATGAATTTCTTTTAAAAACGCTAACAATGATTTATGGCTAAAAAGCAGTTCCCTACCGACGAACATTGCAGGGTGTAAAGGTATATGTTGTCGGTAGGGTAATCGAAAACGTTTTCTTAGAGTTTCTAAGTGTTTGCACTGGATTAACATGTGAAGGACTGTTAATGCTTCACCACATCCGTCACACAATGGTGGATCGCCACCGGACAAAAGATATGTGTCGTGTATGTGTGTCCTATCCTGAGCCTCGTTAGTATTACCTCTGTATGACGCAATTTTGATACTGGCAGCCAATGACCAAGATGTGGCTTAATAATGTGTAGTTTGTTTTGTGTGTGTCTATCCCACTTGCTCAGCCAGTAGTCCCTGAGGTTTCGTTTGAGAGACGGCTTAAGATCAAGGACCGGGATTGATATGGGTGTAGGGGCAGTGCTTTTGTGGACGGATGCAGCGAGCTGATCCGCCCTCATGTTGCCTTGGATCTGACGGTGCCCTGGCCCCCAGCAGACTACAACATGTTGTTTGAGTGTGTAGAGTGTGCACAAAATGGAGTAAAGTGAGACAAGGACTGGGTTTTTTTTGTTTTTTAGGAGTGTGTAGAGCCGTTATCACACTGAGGAAGTCCGCATAAATTACTGCTTTTTTGTTTTTGTAGTTGCTTGATGTGTTTAGCCACCACAAGTATCGCATAAGCTTCCGCTGTGAAGATACTTGTGCCTGGATGTAGAGGACCAGCATCCGAAAAGGATGGATCGACAGCAGCGTAGGACACAGAGGAGTTAGACTTGGAGGCATCTGTAAAGAACTCGGGACGTTTGTATTTGTGTTGAAGTTCTAGGAAGTATGTTCGGATATGGGCAATAGGTACATGTTTTGTAACTTCTAGAAAAGACACATCGCAGTCTATAGTCTGCCACTGCCACGGTGGCGGGTATGCTACAGGAGCCATTAAACTGTGTTCAAGTGACACTCCAGTTTTCCTCAGCTAGACCCTTCAGGCAAACTGAGAAGGGCTGCCTCATCGAAGGCCTGTTTTGAAACAGAATAGAGCTCGACAAATCATTAATAGTGGAGTATGAGGGGTGCTTCTTGTCTGCTTTCATCTTAAGAAAATATACAAAGGACATGCAAGTTCTTTGTAGATGAAGCGACCATTCATTTGACTCAACGTAAAGGCTTTCTACAGGGCAGGTGCGAAAAGCAGCCGTAGAAAAGCGGATGGCCAAATGGTGCACGGGATCCAGCATATTCAAAGCACTTTGAGTCGCAGATTGATAAACAACGGCCCCATAATTTAAGCGTGTGCGAATGAGGCTCCTATACAAATTCATGAGACATTGCCTGTCGCTACCCCACGTAGTACGTAACAACACTTTCAGAACACTCATGGCTTTTATACATTTTGTTTTTAGATACTTAATTTGCGGTATGAAGGTCAGCTTGTGGTCCAAAATTAGGCCTAAGAATTTATGCTCGGCATTAACAGACAGACGTTGACCATTCAATTGAATGTCAGGTTCTGAGTGCATACCTCTCTTTCGGGAAAACAAGACACATGTGCTTTTTTGTGGGTTCAGTCGGAATCCATTTTCTTCTGCCCATTTAGAGACCTTGTTCAAAGCTAGCTGAACCTGCCATTCACACATTGCCAGGTTGCATGACTTAAAGCCAAGCTGGACGTTATCGACATATGTACAATAGAACATATTGCGGGGGATGGACAGGTGCAAGGAATTCATTTTGATAATAAAAAGTGTACAACTAAGTACACCACCTTGCGGTACTCCCGTTTCTTGAACAAATGTTTGGGAGAGAACACTTCCCACACGCACACAGAATGTCCGATTGGACAAGTAACTCTCGATTATGGAAAGCATTCTACCGCGGACACCCAGGTGAGACAAGTCTCTTAATATGCCAAAACCCCATGTTGTGTCGTAAGCCTTCTCGATATCGAGAAACACAGAAAGAAAGTATTGTTTGTGGATGAAGGCGTCTCGAATCTGTGCCTCGATACGCACCAGATGGTCGGTGGTGGATCTACCCTCTCGAAACCCACATTGGTATTGGTCAAGCAGATTGTGTGTTTCAAGGAAATATAAAAGTCGGCGGTTTATCACTTTTTCAAAAATTTTACAAAAGCAGCTCGTTAGTGCAATTGGCCTATAACTTGAAACTGAGGAAGGGTCCTTGCCCTGTTTCAAAATAGGAATAACAATGGCCTCTTTCCAGGGAGTAGGTATGGTGCCATAAAGCCAGATAGCATTGTATAGGGAGAGTAAAGTTTTTCGCGTTTCAAGCGGCAGGTTTTTCAACTTTTCATACATGACATGGTCGTGGCCTGGGGCAGAATTACTGCAGGAGTTTAGTGATGTTTGTAGCCCAGCTAAGTTGAAAAGTTGGTTGTATGCCTCGTATTTTGTACACTTGTATTCCAGTTTCTGCTTTTCTATTTTTGCTTTATATCTTTGAAAAGCTTCAGTATAGTGTGACGAGCTAGAGACCTGCTCGAAGTGTGCACCTAGGACGTTCGCCTGATCTTCCAGGCTGTCACCCTGTGTGTTTACGAGTGGCAGTAAATGCACTTGTCTTCCTGCTACTCTACCAACCATGTTCCAGACTTTAGCCTCTTGGGCATATGAATTAATCCCCGATAAAAACTTGTGCCAGCTTTCTCTTCTGGCCTGCCGATGCGTTCTCCTGGCCTGAGACTTCATTTTCTCAAAAGTGGCAAGATTTACGGCTGTCGGTGAGTTCCGAAGCAACTTCCATGCTTTGTTTTGCTGCCTGCGTGCATTTCGGCACTTTGAGTTCCACCATGGCACACGTCCTTTTCCAGGGTGTCCATTCGTTTGTGGTATGCTTTTTGTTGCTGCATCAATCAGAGACGCTGTAAAGTAGTCGACAGCTGCATCAATCCTTAAAGTGCATATGTCGCGCCAGTTTAAATGAGTGATGGTATAGAACTGTTCCCAGTTGGCTTTGCTTAATAGCCATTTCGGAACCTGCGGCGGGCATTCAGTTGATGTAGGTGTGCTGAAAACTATGGGAAAATGGTCACTTCCGTAGGGATTAGTGATGACTTTCCAGTGAAGTAGAGGCACAAGCGATGGAGATACTATGCTTAGGTCTATTGAGGAATAGGTATTGTAGGTATTGTTAGCAAGGTTATAATAGGTTGGTTCTTTTCGATTCAGGAGACACGCGCTTGAAGAGAGAAGAAACTGTTCCATCAGTTGACCTCGGGCGTCACAACGAGAGTCGCCCCATTGCCTGTTATGTGCATTAAAGTCCCCTAGAACAAGATAGGGTTCGGGAAGTTCATCTATCAAGGACTGGAATTCATGTTTGTGTAGTTAAAAATGTGGAGGTATGTATATAGAGCAAATGGTGACGAGTTTGCTTAGAAGCACCACTCGAACAGCCACTGCCTCAAGATGCGTTTGGAGTTGCAAGTGTTTACATGCTAAACCTTGTTTAACTATAACAGCTACACCTCCAGATGATGCCACGGCATCATCACGGTCCTTTCGGAAAATAATGTAACTGCGTAGAAAGTTGGTGTATTTAGATTTTAAGTGTGTTTCCTGTACACACAGCACTTTTGGTGGGTGAATGTGTAGAAGTTCTTGGACATCGTCGAGGTTTGTGAGAAGGCCTCTGACATTCCATTGTACAATCTGTGTTTCCATATTTGATAGAAAGTGGCGCTGTGTGTACCGAAATGAAGTGGCTGTTCAAGTGGGAAGTTGTAACTTAAGTAGCAGGGCCGTCCTCGGGCCCTGTTATTGGTTTCTTGGTTCTTTTAGCGCGCTCTAGGAAGCCACACCGCATTTCTGGCACTTGAGGTACCGTGTTTGAGTTCATTGCCTCACGTGAAGCACTGGACGCCCGCGTACGCGAGCTGCTGTTGCGCATTTGCGACCTCGCCTGGTGAGACGTGGTCGATCGACCCGACGACCTTGGAGTCGCCTGAGTCTCTGGCTTGGTAGGTGGAGCAGGCTTGGCTGCTTCCACCATGGGGGCGGCCACCAAACCCGATGGCTCACTTTGCGTGGGCCTAGGTAGTGGCGGAGGGTGATGCGACGCTGCCCCCTGACGCGCCGCATCAGCGTAAGTTGTGCCGTGAAAAGCCGAACACCTTCGGCGTGCTTCCTTGAAGGAAATATTTTCGAGAATCTTCAGTGTAATAATGCCTTTTTCTTTTTTCCACTGTGGACAAGAACGTGAATATGACGCGTGGTCTCTGTCACAGTTTACACAATATAGGGTTTCATTACATTTGTCAGAGATGTGGCCTTGGGCACCGCATTTGGCACAAGTGGGTCGACCACTACAGCTCTGAGAGCCATGGCCGAACCTTTGACACTGGTAACATCGGCGGGGGTTCGGTATGTAGGGTCTGATCGGTGTCTTTGTATAGCCAGTATCTATTGTTTGTGGTAGTTCACTGGTGGCAGCGGTCAGTACCAAGTGTTTCGTGGGGGTTTCCTGATTGTTCCTTCGAATGACGATTCGCTTCACATTGGTCACATTCTGTTCTTTTCAGCCCTCGAGGAGTTCAGCCTCCTTCAGGTCAAGGAGATCTGTGTTAGAAACAACTCCACGTGCAGAGTTCATGGATCGATGAGGTGTTACGCTGATGGGAATGTCGCCGAATGTTGCAAGGTTCTTTAGTTTGTCAAATTGTGTTTTTTCACGGAATTCTAAAAGAAGGTCGCCACTAGCCATTTTTGTAACTTTGTAGCCATCACCTAATGTGGCTGTCAGGGACCGCGATACTATGAACGGGACACTGTTCTGGCTGTTTTGTTGGGCTTCTCACTGTGTACATGACAACGAGGGAATACTTCTTTGGGTCGGCTGAGAAAGGAAAATTATTCGGTGCGTACGCGCTTTGAAGCGGCACGATCATTGAGAAGTGGAAAGCTTTTATGCATGATAGAGGAATGTGATTCAGTAACTATGGCGGCCACCCACCACGGAGCCCAACGAGGGGACGCTACAAGATTCATGCAATACGAAACATGCAGACGCCAGCCGTACACCCCTACGATAACCTAATGCGCGTAGGCTAAGGTTGGCTAGTTGCACAAGGTTAACCCAAGCCGCCCATGAAATTGGGGAAGTAACAGAAGAAATTAGAAGACAGGATAGATTTAAAGAGGAGAAAAGATGAAGGTGAGGGGGAGAGAGAGATAGGAAAAGGCGACTGCCGATTTCCCCTGGGTGGGTCAGCCCAGGGGTGCCGTCTACGTGAAGCCGGGGCCAAAGGGGTGTGTTGCCTCTGCCGGGGGGCCTTAAAGGTTCAATCACCCGGCGTCGGCTCAACCCCCAGGATCCCCTTTTCCCCGGGCACGGCACACGCACGGCTAGGCGTGGGAGGGAGTCGTAACTCCCCGTTGGCTCGGGTCAATGGTGTCGCTACACACCAAACGCCTGCTTTCACAGGCGCCCCTGCGGGGTAATAGCATTTTATTCATGTATAGTTTGACTAATTACTACCCAAACTACCCAATAGCTCAAATTTCATTTCAGTATTTTTCTTTCTTTCCACTTCTAGAAATTATAGTGAACATTTTGTTCCTCTTTTCTTCATGGCATTACTAAGTTAAAGAACACAAGAGTGAATCTATGACCGAGTTTAGATTGATTAATGATACTCTGAGAGCACCGATGTTAATTTTTTATTAGAGGAGAGAATGAAGGTCAAAGTATCACTTTTAAATAGTGTTGTGCCAAAATGTCTGTGCGTGACATCATGAATTTCCAGAGTATTTGTTGCATTTTGACAACATAGGCAAAATGAAATTTTTTGAAACTTAGTATGTTATGTACTTTATTACACAGTGAGTGTACATAATTTTTACCAATTAAGAACTACTCATAAATGACCTACTCGATACCATCAATATCTATGATGGCACGACGTTTGCTGCAGGAATTTCAAGGTAGCATTGCTACTCGGATTTTTTCCGTATGCACATTTTCTCGCTTGCCAAGCATAATCTGATGGTAGCACAAATACATGTTACACTAGTGCTAGAAATAAACTTTCAAAAACTAAGGGAGTAATGCTTGCTCGCCTTGGTGACAGAGTCGTTGACGTTCATGGCCGGCACAGTGAGCCTGCCGGACTTTGAGAGCTGGTACAGGCGGTGCACGCCTGTCACACTCTCCTCAACGATGCCCTTGATCAGCTTGAACATGGCCGGATACTTCTTGAGCATAAGGTGAGTCGCATCACCACCATCATCCAAAATCTGGGCGAGGTACAGATGAGAACCCGATGAGAAACACCGATCACACTGTAATCGTGCTTCTGAAGTTGTGAACCCACAGTTACGGTGAACATTAGAGCTGCATTATGTCTCGTCGCTTATAAACATCAAGCCTCACAGAGGCCAAGAAAGATTGAGAAAATTATATTGATGAGAACAATAATAATTGTTGGTGTTGTACATCCTGCAACTGCAGTATGATTATGAGGGACGTCGTAGAAAAGAGATTTCGTAATGTCAACTATCTGGGTTTCTTAGGGTGCACTTCATTCTGAACGCACAGGCTTGTGTTGAATAAATCATTTTTTGAATTGCTATTGAAAACTTTATGTAACTCCTTATTTCAAAGTTTATATTAAATGAGAATACACCAAAGGTATTCATATATCATTCATAAGAGCTTTTAACAAACTAAACAAAATTGCATCCATTACACGACCAATGTGAAATAAAGTACACTGACATTGCTATCACGTCATCACCTCTAATACTCATACTACCTGAAAATTACGTCAATTGCCTTAATGCTCTTACTACAAGCCATAGTGCGCAAACCTGCAAGCAAGAAATGTTCTGTGGATGCACTTATTTTGAATAGTGATGCTACTGCAGCAGAAATAAGTCTTCAGAATGGTGAAGTGGTGTTAACTACAGCCCATTACATTGCTCACTTATGCTACAATGTGACGGCCTTAAACAGGAATATAGGGATATACAGTACAGCACTTTGAGGGTCTTAATTTTTTTTTCGCATAAGGTAATGAATCCAATGATTCAGAAAACTTAAAAACATGTGATTCTTATTTTATAATTATTTTTTATTGTAAGGTAATAGATCCAATGAATCACAAAAATGGAAAACATGCGAAAGAGAGAGATGCCTTACCATGTTTGGCTGCCAGTTTTCTGAATGAACACATCTGTCTATGCACCACCAGAAGTCGTCCTCAGGATTCGCCCTTCCAGGCAAAAACAGATATGTCTGGAAAACTAATTACAGAAAGAGCACTATTTTGGTCAACCAAATATACAGTGAAGCAGAAGACCATGAATGGCTAGTGTGCTTGGTACTTGAGCCAAGGTGACAATCAGACACATACAATATGTTTTTACAAATACTCTGCATGTTCTGCATCCCGAGGGGCTCCAATAGAGGCCATTGGTGACCCACTTTCATTTTATAACAAGAAAAAAAAAGCATGTCTCTACACATTTTACACAGAGAAATCTAACACAGTCAAACCTTTTTATAAGAGACACTGATCTAAGAGACAAATGTGCCTACGTTGAAATATAGGTTGATAAGAAAATGCATACGTGTTACCCTACTTATGAGAGACACCTCATATAAAACACAAGAATTGTTGCACGGGGCATGTCTCCTATACAGGGGTTAAAATGTGCTGACACATTATGTTGTTACATGCAGCTGCCCGAGCATGTGGCAGCAAGAGACCGCAATGAGAAAAACCTACCTCTTCATCAAGAAAGAAACACAGATGGCTACCGATAAAAAGACTACATTATTTATATGATTGGCACCACTTAAAAAAGGCACACAGTCATATGATGAACTTCGATCATCCACCTCGTGTTCAACCTCTACTTCTACTCTTTCATAGCATGTTTTAGCGTGTTAGTGTGTCAGTGTGTTACTGGGCTGATGAGTATAGTAACCTTTGATGTGATTTCCGGCTCAACTTATCAGTGTGGTACTGATGCCATACATTTACTAGTATCTTGAATAAAATGAGCAATGCGAAATGGTTAGGACAAGCCAGAGATCGTTCACCAGAGGTGAAAAAAATACAGCCTTTGGACCGAACTTTAATTGTGTAGCACATTGCTGGCAGGTTAATTTCATGCGGCATTGTGGGATAGAAATAGAAGAAACGAAAACTACCAAAGATGGGAACAGAGAGGGTTACTCAGTACAAGGGAACACGACAGAATGCATACCAACTTCTAACAGTAAACACAGAGGATGTTTGTCAGCTTGTAACCTTGGTAGTTGGCAAAAATCTGCTAAAGTTCGCAACTGATGAACATATTGTTGTGTCACTGCCCTCGTCGTTAAGCACACCTTCTTTTCTCCAGTTTTGAAAGATGGAGAAGTTTTGTGCGTGGGCAGCAAATGTTTTTCTCTTGACTTACCTGCCTCAGCAAGAGCAGCTGCAACTTCATTCTGAGGAAAGACAAAGAGCGTGCTGAGAACAATGCAGTCAGAGTAATGCCTAATATTTGTTTAAGTATGTTGAATGTGCACTCACCTGGGTAGAGTAGATGTTGCATGGAGCCCACCTCACACTTGCGCCAAGTGCGACCAGTGTTTCGATAAGTACCTGCAGTGAGGACGGTCTCTCAGTTTTGCAAAATGAAGGCTTTCAATTAAAATTAGCAAGAGACAAAAAAAATCAGGGGTTTGGACACACACAAATTTAAGGTGACAGCTCCGTTTATAAAATCAACCCCTTACGCAACAGCTTACTTATGCAACTTATGCAACTGAGTTTGGATACTCGTGTAATGCCTATGAATGCATGTGACTTAACTTGAGCCTCTCTGCACTGAGAATCAACGTAAAAACAACTTAGCATCACCTAGCTAAAGCCTAGAAACAACCCGCGCTACCTAGCTATAGGGACTGCTGGCTTTGTATTAATTATGTCCTGTCTGCACACTATTGCTTTTGTTATTTGTATTTGAACTTAGCGTAAAAAGGGACTTACTAATTCTGGAATGTTGACACTTTCATACCTTCATCATTTAGTAAAACCTGCACCTAATGACAAACTAGTAACACCCATACATGCACAAACAAAAAGATGCTAGAACACATTACTTCAGAAACTTCAGAAAAGATGGAACTTGTCCTTATATTACGGCATTTTGCTGAACTTTCAAAGCCCTACCTCACAGTAAATGTGGCGTTTGTGGCATTTCGCAGAACTAATTTAATGCTAGCTTGTTAGAGCATAGCTTTGGCATATCACTCCCAATGCTTTGTTAATATTGATCAATCATTTCTAGTAACGAGAGAAGCGATATGTGGCCAATTTTTCTAACCACAGCCTTCAAAGCATGCAGAGAAGTTATTGGAGTGAGGTAGCAATATAACAGCACACATTCATTGTTTTGTTAGATCATTATAAGATGAATAGCCAACAGTTCAATACCAGCAAGTATGAGTCAGGGCCAGTATTACACAAGTACAAAGAGCAAGTTTCATACAAACTACACACTTTTTTAAATAAGTTATTGTTATAATGTATATGTACGCATCATCGCACAGTTGTGAGCAGTAGGGGGGCAGGAAGGAGTGACACTCCCCCCTCCAAAAATCACCTGAGGGGGGGCACATAGTCATCTGCCCCATACCTCAAAAGAGTTGACTGTTGGGCAAGTTGATGCTTTGACATAGAAACCATCGTGAGGGGGCAAGTAAACACAGACAGACGAGAACACTTGTCCTCGTCTGTCTTTTTTCTGTGTGTTGTGTTTAGTTGTGCCCTCACGATGGTTTCTATGCCTCGTACCTGTACTCAACGAGAACACCCTCATCATTTTTTAAAGTGACAGGTTATGACCATGCATATTTTTGACAATAATGGCACAGAAAACCACCCAAAAAGCCAAAAACCAAAAGCAAACCGTTATGAGTAGCACGCCTTTGCATCATTTTCATTGTGCATACACTGCAAAGCTCGTTTCGTTTCAAATCTGACCAACGGAGGGGTGGGGGTTACTGCGGTAAAACTTTGCCTCCTCTAACGGGAAACCCTGCATGTGCCTATGCATAATAATATGGCACCATACAATAGTTTGAATGTTGTACCTTACATAATTGGAGATTCTCTGTTCGACGATTTGAGCTTCAAAAATGCCTTTTTTTAATACTGCCCCTAAAAAAAAAACACCTATACCTGCAATACTTCTTGATGTGAAATTTGAGCATAGCTGAGCGCATGTTGGAATTGTGCATGTGCCTCGGTGGTAGTGGTGATAAGCTTCAGCTTTAACGACCTGAATGCGTGTAATTCTTTGGTGCATACAGCAAACACTGGTGTCACTTCAGTCTTGTGTGGTACTCTGCTTCCCTCCTCACCCTTCTGCCATTCTCAGGGCATTCACATTTATCTTTCATTATTTGATCTCACAGTTATGACGGAAGCGCCACGTCAATGCTCAAGGCAGAAACAGGGACGCATGAGCTCGACTCCAGAACTGCTTCTGAAATGCATGGTGCAAATGAATTAAGCAAAATGCAAGCAGAGTGCACGGTGCACTTACACCACCCATTTTCCACTAACTAGCTTCGTCGCTGATTCTGCAGCTTCTGGATCACCAAATTATTCAACATATAATGCTCCACTTAATAAAAACCGAGAGCCACACTCACGGCAGTCTGCGCATTGATGTGTGTGCAGCCCACAATCTTGGCCCCCTGGAGCGGCTTGTCCTGCTCAGCCCGCTTGCGCAGAGCCATGATGCCTGGCATCTCTTGCTCGGCAATCTCGATCTCGCGTCGCCCGAACGCTGCCTGGGAGATGTTCTTGACACAGAAGTCGCTGAAGCCCTTGGAGTTCTTCTGGACTTTCTCGCGGGGCGAGACGCCTTCATCGTCCGAGCTCGTGTCTGTGTACGAAGCTGCACAAAGCAAGACAAAGAATGACTATTAATGCACTGTTGACTGACTGCTACTGGGCAAACTATAGGTAGAGTCAACTTATTGAGACAAAGTGAACCTGCCTTTAAGTCTTTTTGCACAGGTATAATTTGTCCAAGTTATCAAAACAAATTCAACTAGCTCATATTTTAATTAACTCCAATGTATTTTACTAACCCATAAATGGATGCTCAGTATACATAACATGAAAAACAATTTTCACATTGAGAAATAGAAGAAAGGCGGTCAAAAGTAACAGCTACATTAAACTAGTTTCTGCAACCAACATAAGTGTATACTGCAATGAAGTGCAACGATGTGGCAGATGGTATGCAAAATGTTACTGAATTAATACCGTGCATGAAGAATTTTTCTTAAGACATTGTGTGCACGTATTCAAACTTCTAGCTTTTCAGCACATGCTAAAAGGTGCTTTCTTCTGTGGCAATACCACTAGCCTTGTATAATTTTAAAAATTTGGTCTATAGGTTTTGCAAGAGAAGTTGCATAAAAATTTTCTTTCCAATAGTCTGGCTAAAGCTATCAGAATACATATTCAAGTAAGTGTGTTTAGGGAACTGTTTTAAACAAAGTTAAAAAGGCAATATTCATGCATCTAAACTGCGATTGGGGTCGCATGTTTGTCTTGTTTAGGAACCAACTTGGAACTGACAAACTGTGCATGAAAGCACGAAAGCTTTATTGGTGGTGAATTCAAATAATTAACAAAATGAGAAAATGTAGGTGAGAACTTCGGTACATAACTGCATTTTCACAAAATAAATATCAGCTAAAGGTTACACATGAATCACTGCACCAACATTAAATTTCAGTCTGAAGAGCAGCACCTTTGAGCTTAAAGAATGGTTCAAAACCATTACAATGGATACACTCGGGCAATATGGGTTGATGTTACACACCTGGCAAGGCAGAGTATGCCATGCAAGTCGATGCAGAGAAATAGTTGCATCTGAATAAGCATGCCCTACTTCAGCAATCCGAGAAGCAGAGATCATGTTAGTAACCTGATTCTTACGTATTTTCCTTGCAAAACCGTGCACGATGTAAATATCTGAGGTAGTTTGCTGCAGTAAAAGCAACAGAATGGGAAAGTGGATCTGTGAATGTGCCTTTGATAAACATCACTGGAGGCCGGCTGCTTACACAACAAGACAAATAATGCGACAGCAACGTCATAGCTGATGTGTGCAACATTGCACTTCTCTGAAAAGGGTATTTTGCATTTTGTGCTTGTGACATGCGGACGAACCATGGTACACGCCGTAAAAGCTTCTCTAATCTGAACAAATCCAATAGAAATTGAATATATTTGACCATACAAATACCCTTCTTCATAATTGAACTATTTAGTCATATTACAGCCTGCCCTATATTCCATATTTCATAACTATTGGCATAAAAAAAAGTGTGATATCATGGCATTGTTACTTTATTACTCTTGCATACACAGGTAGCCTCACGAAGGACTATCGAAAGCATAGCACAACAGGCGTAGGCCTCCGATATCTCCGAATGTAACAACGGAGAAGAGTTGCGAGCATTCCGCACGCTCCGTGTGAAGTGTCGGAGGCGATGACGCAGTCACTTACACCGGCTCTTGAGGGCCTAGTTTGCTATCCCTAACAAACAAACAAGCAAAAGAAAAACCTAAATCTTACCACAATGCGTAGCCAGAGGCCCGAGTTCTAATCTACCCGTATACTTTCGCGCTGACATTTATTCCTCACACAAGGACGTACATTGGCTTCTCACGAGCACCTCTGGCACACTTTCGAAGCGCAGCGACAACGCCGACTTCACCATCACGTCTTCCTTTGGAATGCTCTTGCGCCTCCCGTCTGCCTTCATGACGACCGCTTGGGGCGCAGCTACGATGATGATGATGATCATGATGCCTCCAAATATGGCTCATACCCACTCAAAGGGATCGGCCATGAATTGATTACATAGGTTGATTAAACGAATTACTTGAACTGATTACATGAAGTGATTACACGAATTACATGACTCCGGAAACGAAACGTCACCCTTCTTCCGTCGCGACGAACGGCTTTCGAAACTGATGATGATGGTGATCTCTCCCCGATGGTACTCGCACACATAGGGGCATGGGCCAAGAATCAGGCGGAATAATGTTTAAGGTAAACACCTAAGAATATAAGTGACATAGAAAATTTAGATTAGAAATAAAACACGAAATAAATTGAAATACTTAACGCGCAAGCAATGAGAATATCACATCGGCTTTCCGACGAAAATGATTAAGGATTTCAAACCAAGACTATGAATAGATGAAAATGTGCTAACGCGGTAATCTTTTTGTTCCGCCTATCTCATCGGACAATACAGAGCAGTCATCCCTGTATTAACTTATTCAAGTGCCGCCCAATGATAAAATATTAGCAAGGCAGAAACGAACGCGATTAGGCATGGCCGCGCGCCCCAGCAAGCATATAGGTGCAGCCCACCCTCACTTCACACACACCAAATAGAAAGAATGATGAAGTAATACATACTTCTGAAAAAACGTTTATTCGGTGCACCAGACTTCTATATCGCTCTTAAGGACGCTTCTAGGAAGCAACAGTTAATGAAAGAACTGACGGGGCCCGAGCGTGGGAACGGCCGCCGACGGTAGTCGGCCGAAGGAGGCAGCACGAGTAATGTTGGGCAGCACGGCCTGGTATGGGAGAGAGTGTCCCGTGCGGAGAACCTATCCCTTTGCGTGTTTCATTTGGTAAGGAGGTTTTTACAAATGTAGTGCCTTTTATGAAAGTGTTTCTGTGATTGGTTGTGATGCTGCGAGTCCCAACATGTGATTGGTTTTTGTGAAGACTCTTTGTTCGACCAAGGGTTAAAAAGAGGATGTTTGAACTTGAAAAGTGAGCGGAGTCGGGGTCAACAGCGGTTCTCACCACCGGAGACCAGCTATGCAGGCCGAGGGGTATGCCACCATTTTCTATGTTTTGTCTTTGTGACCCAGTGCATTTTGTAAATTGAAGTTGTGTTAGCTAAATAAACCCCCAATGAGTGCTCCCCGAAATCATCGTGTTGACTTCTCATCGATTGCCTCCGCGGAGTTTCACCCACACTTATTCGTCTCCCTGGTCGTCCGATGCACCTAACTTGAACAACCCCGACGTTTCACTACAATATAGAGCACGAGGTTTTTAGTTTTGCAAAAATGCACTGTCCGGCTGGCACAAAAAGCGTGATTAAACCCATCCATTTTGGTTAGCGTGAAAAAAAAAAAAACTGGACTCATCCATCTACCTACATACGGGAATCGATATAACACAAAAGGGAAACGTGTCTTTACAGAGGTAGTTGAGGGTTTATTGTGCATTGTTTCAACAACAACTACAATTTGCAAAGTCACGTAAAAAACGGAAAGAATCTCGAAACTTGCAGCGCACACCTCAAGCAGCAAGCACGCACGAAATTAGCGTGCACAGGACAAGCGCGACTGTCAGAGCTCTGTCACAACTTCTGTCGCAGCTCGACACTTAAAGCGCACTGTTCAATCGCAAAAGCGTGCGTAACGAGCGCACACTTATACACAGGACAAGCGCGAACAACTCACACTTCTTCCTGCGTCACGTGTCAGCAGCGCGCTCCTTTCGTAAAGGCGACCGCGCAGCGTGCGAAGTGACCTTCGTACTCTTCCGAATCAAGAGTCTGATAAGCGCGCGCGCAGGAGAGACCACGCTCTGTGCAGGCGGCGCCTCGTGGAGGCGACTACCTCCATATCGCCACTGATAACAAAAAAAGCGCAAACGTTTCGAAGCTCTGCGAACTGTCAAACGGTGTATGGTGTATACAATTGCCGTTAGCACTCCAAACAGCGTACGCTCCGTGGCGTAGTGGTTAGCGCCACGCGCTGGTTGCTGGTTCAATTTTGCGCTACGAATGCTTGTCCTCAGGTTTCTTTATCTGCAATCTCTTAGTGCATGTCATTCAACGTCACTTCCGTGACGGAAGTGCGTAAGCAGAGCCGTGGTGGACCCTGGCATAAAACACTTCCGTGTTAAAAACAGAAGAAAGCTCGGCAGGGAGCCGGCCTAGCGTGCAAACAAAACCATCTCCGAAGACACTACTGCCTCGCACTCCAAGGTCTCGGCGGAAGTGCAAATATGACCCCCCCCCCCCCTTTTTTTTTCTCATTTCTTTTGGCTGGGATTCAAAAGTGCCATGTGAGCTTCCTCCTAATCTTCTTTTCGCCTTTACGTTGGTTAAAGTAAAAAGTGCAAGTTCACAATGTCGACAATCTACAACCAACTTGGAAGAGATAGGTGAACTATTGGGCTAACTGTTCAAGCGATATACTGAACAAACCGCGGTAATGATTGATAAAGTTCCAACAGAACTTGGAATTAACGCCGCAGTCTCGCTCGTATGGCTGAAGCATTGCTGATGCGCAGTGCTTCGAAAGATACCAGAACCGCCAAAAGGCCCGACCTTGGCAAATATCAGTGGAAATGTCCACACTTTCACCGAAGAAGATGCCAAAGCGCTAAAAGGGCCTCTAAATTCGAAAGAATGTCGTACGACCTACCATTGCAACAGCAGTATATTTTAGTGTGTACGGCTGTCTTACAGTAAATATCAGTACTGTAAACCAGTGCAAAGCACCACCTTTGTGCCCCACCCTCTCTTCGTCAACGCAGTGCGCTTCAACGCCGACGCCTCGAACATTGCGTTCCCCTGTAAAGGGTACTTCGCCTTTAGCATCATAAAGATGCGGGTAAGCCTCCTGTAAACAAAGCTGCCCGTACTGACGAAGGAGAGTGCTTTCAGAATTTCAGAACTTACTAGTAAGAGGAAACGACAGAACTAATACAGTACCCTACACAACGAACCAAAACATGGTCACCGCAATAATTAGTATCAGTTTTACTTCTTTTTTTCTTTCCCTTGTACTGCTGTGCGCGGTTTATTGATGCAAATCTAGAAAAGTGAG